ATCAAGTTTTCTGATGGTTGTTTCTTCTTTGACCTTACTGGTGGATATAATCACATTTCAGGAAGATAATGATAACGATTTTTCTCAATTATTCATCAATTCGACCAAGTCTTGATGGTTGTTTTATAAGCAACTGAGCTATATTTAACTACGAGAAATAGAATTTTAGCCGTAGTCCCAATTAGTCAAGGAGGAGCAATAGGTCCTCCTTTATTGATAATGTTCACCGCTGAATAAAAGTCCATATCTCAAAACGTATTGAGAACCATTTTGTGAAAGACTAGCATAATTTTTTAGGCATTTGTCATTCTAATATAAAAGTGATTCATTTGTAGCATTTATCTTATTAATACCTGAGAAACAATACAAAACGTCGATACACTGATTACATATATAATTTGTTTGGTGTTGATAAGAAAATTAACGTCAAACTTATAGCTTAGAAATCTAAATCATATATTTAAAATAATTTTGTATTATTTTCTGTTGCATCGTGTACTCCAAATTGTGAAAAATTGGGATTTTGTTTTTTGGTAATATTTTGACCTCTGTTAATGGCAGGCGTAATTCACCCTAAAAGCTGGAAGTATATTGAACGGTTATAATGAAAATTATTAGGGAACATGTGTATGTAGGTATGTTAATGTTAGGTCAAATATCGCTGCGTTATAGTGTACTCCAGCTCCAGCTCCTTTATTAGACGTCCTAGAGATTTCATACCATGGACTAATAGTACCATTCTTTCTGAAGATGAGTATTGTGTATCATGCATGTTCTAGCTTCATATACATGTATCTTACCAATAAATCTCGTTCTTTAAGAAACGGAATACTATAAATCATGTAATGTAATGAATGAAAAATTTAGAAAATGAAATGTTCTGATTTTTAAATATCATTATTTACGGAGCAGAACATATGTTTTGATATGTTGTTATGTACAAGTACATGGTATATTCAGGAAACACTAGAAAAATAATTTCCGTTCTCACTTCCGTTTTCACATTTTCGTTTTGATTTTATATGCAAGCTTAAGCTCCCTAATGAAGTGCATTAACTGGATTAACATTTCCTAGTTCCGGCAATTTATCATGTACTCATGTATATTAGATACGGTTAACAGGAAACTAGTTTATTGTTAAATGCCTTTAGATATCTGTAGAGAAATTGTGTATAAAGAAACCTGTAAGTGATATGTTTAAATCTTTGACTCGAGAATAATATTAAAATATATTCTTATATATATATAAGATTTCCTTCAATGTTGTCTGCTGGTTTATGTCCTGCCACAATTTATGAGCGAGAGTCTGTAGAAAACATTCATAAAGCCATAAGCCATAGCATATTTTACGCAAATAAATTAAAGATAAAGCTAATTTTATTGTTATAGCCCATACAATGTGATGGCTATTCTAGGTAAAAATCTTTCCAATTATATAAATGTAAGTATTGTATAGCAATAAATTAATAATTAAATGTTACAGTCAATAAAGTCCATTTGAAGAGATGCTTTGATTAATCGTAGGCCACTGAACCCTAAAGGAAGTAAAGACTTATTAATCAAAGTCGAGTAATCAGGACTCGGTGATCTCAATTCCAACGTTTCTCATAAATACCTTGAACAACAGTCATGATAGAATTAGGGGACACTACAAGGTCACTTTGAGATTGCTTTGAGGCTGCCTTTGTATTTGTCAAAGGTCCTCGTACAGCCGCCTGAAGGACGCAATCCTGGATCATTACATAAAAGGCGTGGATTTTCTGTCGCAACAAATTCAAAAAATGCCTTACGGCTATTGTAACATATGCGACTGTTATCGGATGTGACCATTAAAATTCTGCCGCGGCCTAATATTTTTTTCTATCGTAAAAATATTTTAACTGCTGCTCTTCTAAGCTGTGATCATGAGATTCATTAGAAAAGACATCTTATATGTTCAGTGCTTGCGAAGGACTTTGCATATCATATGCAGATTCCCTATGTCAATTTACTGGTCAAGGGAAATCTCCCCAAACTTGAAGTCACATTTTCAAAAGAAATTAAAGGAGGACGGAAAGTATTGCAACAGATTTCGGAAAGTCATAGGATTTTGGCTATTATCTGATTTAAACAGGTGCAAATGTTAGACCAATGCATTACCTCCAGGAAAAGCACTCATAGAGATGATAAAATAATTTCGACTTTGAGACAGGGAAGGTGCAAGCCCACAACCCACCCACATTTTTTCTGAAATGATCCTGATTTTTAACCCCTTCCACTCCTGCTTTTTCAATTTTTGTTGCATCAATATGTTCCGATTTGAGACACAGTTAACCCCTCCAAAGAATAAGTAATTCCTTTTAGATCAAGTGGAAAACAATATTTCCCATGTTTTTCCCATAGGGAAAAGTCATGCGGTCCATTACTTTCAGTTTAATTTCGGTCACCCATGACGGATACATGTATCTTTAAAACCCCTAAAGGAATTATTTATTCCTTTAAAGGGTTCCGATTAGCATCCCGTATAAAAACAATATGGCGGCTCCAGGCGAATCAACTGGATCAGTCCATTTTTAAGAAATAAGGGGAGTTCTGTAAAATCCAGTTTATTGAAATTGTCTTTGAGATAAAGTAATCCGTTTATAATGATTTTGAAAACGTTATCCAAAGAGTGATTGCGTTCAAAGAATACATGTACAACAGCCAATATAAATCCTTGTATTAGAAACCGGTTTGTTTTACTTTGTTTCATTTGTAGGATATTTCATATGCCAAGCTGTGTGCTATTACGTTATGGGGAAATTTAGATGCCAATTTTTCCTTATTATACACAAATAGAAGATCCTGAAACTTCATCAATTAATGTGGAATTGATTTGTCAAAATAAAAATCACCCTTTTATAAATGTGTGACGATCTATAATTCTCGAAATCGTTGTTCCCTCTTCAAAAGGGGAGACGCGAAAATCTTTCCTTATAAGGTCAAAATATTTCCCATGATGCAGTTCGCGGAGGAACAAATTTATACTTCCTTGTTTTCCCTCATAGGTTTAACATGGGGATTTTCACACCTATTTTTCAAATGATATATTCGTTCATATTCCCGTACGAGAGAACAGAAAAAATTATAAGAAACGATTGATCTCTTATTAATCTTAATACAACAGCTATTTTTTCATTGTATTGCCTTCATAGCGTGGTGAAAACGACGATTGAAAAGTGAGAAAATATTCCGGAAAAGAAGGTCACGTGATCAGTTGACTAGTCGCCATATTGGAAAAAACAATTCCATTCGACTTTCAATACTTTCACGCCAATCTTACCGCACTTCAAACTGCAACATCGATGCAACAACTGAATAAAAGTATTCATGGTCAAATAACATTATAGAGTTACGTTAAAAACCCACAAACAACTGAGCAGTAGACCAAAGAAGACGCGTCGCTATTATCTAGGTCAATCTGTTCAGTGGTCCGAAAGCAAATCTATAGTACTCGTTTCCGAATTTTGTTGTTCATTGTACAATCTTTTATTGATTAAACTCGGTATACTGACTATTAAAGCAATGACAAAGAAGAATACTCCCGATGGTGTCATTGTTTTATTTAGCGTGCGGGTATAAAAACAAAATTGCGTAATTAGTTTCATTTAGAACTTTCGGGTCACGCAAATAGTCTACGCGAAATGCATAGTGGGAAAATATTGACCTATCAAATTTTGTCCTTTTTTGAGTGCTTCTTCACTGCATATTTGCGAACGTTCTGATTCAAAGAGTGAACCGCGAAAGGGAGAATATACTTATGCTATATAACAGTTAGAGGTGTTGACACAACGACCTCGAGCCTGTGAACCCTTGAGTATTATTCCGGGATCGGGGCTTTTATACTAAACGGTGAGCAACACCAGAAACGAGCGTTCGATTTGCTAAACGATATGCGTCACCCTTTAAAGGGAGTAACTAGATTTGTAATTTCAAATTTGACATCACTTTGACTGAATTTTGAATATTTAATGACGTAAATCAAGATTATATTTACTCGTATCCAATCTATTGTCTAATGCTGGTTCAGCATGTCTATGTTACATTTATGCCAGACATGTCAGCTATTGTTAATCTAAATTCCAGTAGCTGTGTCAATGTAAGCGTCTACATTGTTGTCTTTTGTCCCAAGTGACGTGTTAGATCTTAAATATCATAGTCTAATAATCAACTTATTGGTGTTTTACAGGATTGTGTTGACTTTGGGTTGAGTTTTATGGGGATTGTGTTGACTTTGGGTTGAGTTTTATGGGGATTGTGTTGACTTTGGGTTGAGTTTTATGGGGATTGTGTTGACTTTGGGTTGAGTTTTATGGGGATTGTGTTGACTTTGGGTTGAGTTTTATGGGGATTGTGTTGACTTTGGGTTGAGTTTTATGGGGGTTGAGTTGACTTTGGGTTGAGTTTTATGGGGGTTGAGTTGACTTGGGGTTGAGTTTTATGGGGGTTGAGTTGACTTGGGGCTGAGTTTTACGGGGTTGAGTTGAGATGACCTGTCATCATAATGAATAAAGGTAGTGATTATATGACAGTGTTGAACCGGTTGTAAATAGTGTATATTTTGTAATGAAAACAAGAAGTGCTTGCATGGTAGTGTTTTCCGGTATGGAATAAAGGTTGCAGTGAATAAGATTGCAGTGTTTATTTTGTAGTGAATAAAAGAAGTGCTTACATGGCAGTGATTATTGGTTACTACCACTTTCCACAGTTTTTTCCAGTGTTATATTTTTCATTGATGTTACATCTCATTTCCTCTACAGTTTATAATTATATTAACCGTCTGGTTTTAGATACAGTAATTTCATTCACAATTTCACTTTCATTTCCCCCCAGCATTTTGCATGGTATTGTTCATATCAGAATCCATGTTTCGTTAATATTCAGTGTCTTCAGTGGTTTTGTATGCTCGAAATACATTTATTCTTGTCCAGAAAGTATTTTAATTGTATAAAGGTATTATATTGATCATGAATATGTTCTAGGCGGAGTATATCAAGCAGAAGGGACTTGGAGGAGCCTTCGTTTGGTCCCTAGACCTGGATGACTTCAACGACATATGTGAAACTGGTGTGAAGTATCCTTTGCTGAAACGACTTCGGGCTGCCCTAGATGATTACAGACCTAGAAACACTGTGGATTACATCAGGCCCCAGTCACCCCCTCTTCAACGTTCCCCCTATATAGTTAACCAGGGAGATCATGATGAGGATGTGCACCATAATGACCACCATGTTACAAAACCTTTGGCATACAATGATAACAATCAGCTAATAATTTCTCCGACGGAAAAGTACATTTCTAAACTGCCACCGCTAAAACCAAAACTTCCTGCTGGCAAAAAAATACAGAATATTCCCGGTCCCTCGAGGCAGTACGTTTCTAAACAGATGCAAGATGATCGCCCGAAACAATTTATTCCCGAATCCTCACCTAGAACACAATATAATCAGCCTAAATCCAGTGAAAGAAGATTCTTCAAGTCAAACTCTGGACCAAAACAAAATAATATTCTAGAATCATTCAACCAAAGGCCTATTCCTCAACAAATGTATAACTCCAGAAATCAAGTTCGAAAGCCTTATAGATCCCAGCACAAGGCCACACCTATGAGACAAAGGTTCCAGCCCCTCACTTGGAAGCTTCCTCCCCTTTTGCCCCCACAGAGAACTGGAAGACGATGGGGTAGGCCGATGAGAGGTCGAATAACTAACAGCTACAAAAGTGCTAACCTTACAAGCAATGCTACATTAACATATAATCAAGTTTTACCTGGAAGATCATCCTTGTATCGACCCCGGCCTTCTCAATATACCAGTCGACTTTCACCTTTTTTACCTTGGCCCTTCAGAAATCAAGACTTCTTCAATAGGGTGAAACTCCCTAAAAGTGATCGTCCAGCCTATTCTACTGTCCCAAAAGTATCACAAAATGGCAGAATGTCTAAGTCTAACACATCCCCTGAAATAAATAATGATTGGAGGCAAAACATTAGACTTAATAATGCGATTTCAAAGACAGGGAAAGCTGAAGTGACAGGGAAACCAACCATTGCGACACCTGCTGAAGTCACTGAAACCGTTACTAAAGCTGGTCCCCCGATGCCCAAATGGAAATCATTCATTGACTTTGCAATTGAAAAAACAACAACGAGGCAAGATGAGACATCAACAAAAAAACCAAAGACATCCTTGAAGAAATCAAGCTTCAAAAAGCGTTTGAGAAAATTAAGGATTCCAAGAAGGAGACTAAAGAACAGTGGCATAAGTGAAAATACCACAACTCCTGCATCAATTGATGCCACGACAATTCTCGCAACAGGAACCACTGTTCCTTCAACACGTAAGACTTTTATTATATCATTGTCAATACTTTTTTCCACTGTCATACAAATGAAAGACCTATTAGAGGGAACAGTTAGTCTATGTATTTTTCCATAAGACAAACAAGCTATCTGCCAAATGATCACTCACTTGTGTGGAACCACAACTGTTCTGGGCTACCCAAAAGTTCTGACTCTTGCCCAACTATTCTAACAACCCAAGTGTTCCGAGTTCAGTTATTTAAATCAGGTCTGAAAATTCACAGAAAATTGGTGCCAAAAATAATTTTGCTGAAAAAATGTTGAGCCCCAAAATGTGAGCCATTTATGAGAATTTGGACCCAAGTTTTGGAGATATGGACCTAAAATTGAAACCCATGTCTTCAAAAAGCTAATTTTCCAAAAATAACGTTTATTTCTGAAATTGAGACCCAGCCTAAATAAGATATTTAAATATTATATTGCTTAGGAGTGTTCCAAGGTGCAAAAATCCAGCACTCGAGGAACTAACACTCCTTAATGGGCACCCTGTTAAATTATATAAATAAATTAAAGTTATTTTGTGCATGAGGCAGCCACATACATGCATCATTATAAGTGATTTAATTAACTAAATTCAACATTCTCTGGAAGAAACTTAAAGTTGAATTGAAAATTGAAAATCAACGCATCGAGAGTATTTGTTAAAATACTTGGGTCAATTCAGAATACTTCGTCGGCAAGAGTCGGAATACTTTGGTAGCCAAGAATACTTGGAGCTTCACACACGTGTCTTGATCTTTAAAGGTCGAAAACAAGAAAATTCACAATACAAGTGCTAACGTTAAATACAAATTTAATATATCATCGTGGTATAAATTACAATGTAGTTAGCACAAAAATATATCAGTAGGCCGTCAGTCAATCGTCCAGCATATAGAATCATCTCTATTTGAGCATCACGCTAACACAATTCATGTTATTATTGAACATGTACCTGGCAGTTGACTCCATTGTTAACCAGTTAGTCATAAACACATCGGAGTAATTCTAGACCAAAGACTAACTTTTAGAGATAATGTTAATGAATTGACCAATGAGTTCTCAAAAAGCAGAACACATTTTTTTACGTTATACATTCGCTTCCTTCCATTCACTTAGTAACTTCAGTAACTCAATTATGTTGATATCGTCAAGTTACTAGAATAGTAACATGCTAGAGCATAAGAGATCGGGTCTCCTAAAAACACAATTAGAGTAACCCCCTGATTTTTCGTGTTAATTGATGTAAAACAAGTTTGTTTATCAACTTATCAATTCTGAGGCTTGAATTAATTCGTTAACAGTATCAATTCGATGATTGTTCCTAGCCATGAATTTCCACTTACATCAATAGAAATTAAAATTAAAATGTAAAAAGCCCACTCAAATTTGTTCCAGTCTGATTGGCTATTTCCATCAGATTATTTTGGCTTAGAGAAGCCATATTTATTACTTCTAAGGGGTTACAATATAGATAAATCCCCCAAAAACATTGTATTCTGTTTTCGACTTATTACGTTAAATTCTGACAGTTGGTTGTTCTTTTGGTTGTCCTGTTGATATCCTCAATATATTGTCGATATCGTGCTTATGATTTGGTCTCAAGATATATCTTAGGTATATATGATATTTTATGAGCAATTATATTGGGACATTACTGATTTTCCAGAATAGAAATCTGGACGACTCGATCTCTTTAAATCTCTGAACTCTCCGAGGCCATGAATTGAATAACCTTACCCGAAAGTAGATTGAGCCAACTTTATTCATTTTTAATTTTAAGATAACATACATTTGTCGGCTTTCCGTTTCAAAGAATGATGATTCACACCGATCGAAAGGAAGGAACTCAGAAACAGCTGGAAAGGGAATTTTTTATGATCCTTTTAGGCAAAACGACATTCTGATTCTATAAAGCATGGAATGTTTGTCATTGGATGTCAATGATGGTAATAGAATATCTGCGTGAGAAAACATTATTATGATAAACCATGGTAACGTTGGTCATGAAACCACGGGAAGTTTGGTAATGAAACGATGGTAAATTTACTAATGATACCATGTTAATTGGAAACCTGGAAATATACATAAGCTTCGATCATCACATCACTTGATATTACAAAAACAGAAATTGAAGTTGACAGATTAAAAGATTATTTGCACATTCATTTTCGCTAACGATGCTTCATCTGCCCGTTAAATTGCGATTACAATAATGAAACAAAGTTATTAATAATCGAAACGACACAGAAAAAAGACAATATCAACCCATAAGGCACACCAAGCCATAAGACAACTTATAATCTATCAAAAGAAGTATTTCTGCCAACACACAAACTAGAACTTTCAATATAAATATATTCTTAAGCTTAGATATTCATCAATCAAGATTTCTACAATTAAGTGAAACAAAATGAATGATTTATCATCATAAAAATCCTTAATTAAATAGAGGTTTATATATTGAATTTATAAACAAATTGTTGCGTAAATGCTGCACTAAATCTAAAATACATCATGGCGTTTACATTCGTAACGGGGGAGCCACTTTCTACACAGACAATGTAGTGACATCTGTTCATCAAATTACTATCTGATTAATTAAACATATTTTCCAGGTCCGTTGATTGAATGTGGAAAATCATTTGATGGCATTTACCCTGACCCCAAGTGCACATGCTGCAAGTCCTACTACCGCTGCACGGATGGTCTCGCCCACAAGATGTCTTGCTCTGGCAATTTCGTCTTCAATCCTGCAGTGAAGGCATGCACGATACCTCCATTTGTTTTGGGATGCCAGAATAAATTTACATCGAAAACGACAGTTAAGAATGATACAGCTCGAATGGACTAACAGATTCAATATTTTCACATATACCTGCTGTGTTCAGTTTCAAACAGACTACATGAAACAAATGACTGATTCATTTACAGTCTCTTCTTTATTTTAATCTATATGGTGATTCACCTATTAAACATATCAACCTGTTGGGGCCTCTTAGTGAGAGTCCCATGCATATCATTTTCATTCTAATGTATACATATACTGTATATTCTCTATCAAATAAATAATTAGGAATATGAAAAAGAAAAAATGCACTGTATATCATATTTTATTGTAATTGTTATAATACTACAATTGAATTATGAATATGATATTAAAATCAAATGTTATTATTATGATATCATGGTTTATTGTAAGATTTGAATGATTGAATACTTCATCAATAATCATTCACATATATAACATATAAGTTATGAAATACCGGCCCTTAAATATCTGTAAATTACGTTGATTGCAACAAAAGAATACGTACAGTTTACGAGTAATTATGATTTAAACAGTAAATGATACTTGAATGATGGGGATGGGTATTAAACATTGTTTCTGTTCATGTTAAAGGTAGATGGGGTTTGTTTTCCTTATGGCTGGTGTTCTCTTAGATGTTTTCTTTTTCTTGCAGTGTTCTGTAACAATTTTTGGTCCTTTCCCTTTGGCACTTGTGCTTGCATATTATAATCCTTCCTTGGGCGAAATATGTACCTCTTAAATTAACAGGTGGACATTTAATGGGACAATATGCATCCTGTCAAACTGGAAAGATCTACTTTTTCTATAATACTCTCTGTATTCTCTTAAACGCCAAGTGTTTCACTTGTTTGTAAAGTAACGGCATGTCAAGTAACACTACAAATACTATTACCCCGATTAAAACAATCAACCACACAGAGCCTATTCCTGTAGAATATCGGGCTTCTGATGGATTATTTTCTAACAGTTGCTTGGAGTTTAATACATCCGCTTCTTTCAGTTCAAGTTTTAAATATATTATTTTACCATGCGTTACTTGGACTTTTGTTTCATATTCATTTGTTTTTGAATATAAGTTGTCTACGTTTGCTTTGGTTGTGTTTTCACTTGAATTGGCATTTTGAAATATGGAATTGTTGTGAATTGATACATCAGCAGTATAAGCACTGCTATGCGTTTTTGTAGTAGGCCTAGTTGTTGCCGTATCCATTGTTATTGCAAAAGTCGTTGCTGCTGTACCCTTTTTTGTTGGAATAGGTAGTGTAATGGTAGTAAGCGTTGTTGTTGTAGAAGGCAGGGTTGCTGTTGTACTTGGAAGAGCTGTTGTACTTGGTCTAATTGTTGTACCTGGCCCAGTTGTTGTACTTGGTCCAGTTCCAGTTGTTGTACTTGGTCCAGTTGTTGTACTTGGTCCTGTTGTCGTCGTCGTTGTGGTAGGCGTCGTCGTCGTTGGAGTCGTCGTCGTTGAGGTAGGCGTCGTCGTTGTTGTATTAGGCGTTGTTGTCGTTGTAGTAGGTGTCGACGCCAATGTTATAGGCGGCGGCGTCGTCGAGGTAGGCGTCGTCGTCGTTGCTGTATTAGGCGTTGTTGTCGTTGTAGTAGGCGTCGACGCCAATGTTATAGGCGACGTCGTCGTCGAGGTAGGCGTCGTCGTCGTTGCTGTAGTAGGCGTTGTCGTCGTTGTAGGAGGCGTCGACGTCGTTGTTGTAAGGTACGTCGTCGTTGTGGTAGGCATCGTGGGCGTCTTCGTCGTTGTGGTAGGCGTCGTCGTTGTGGTAGGCGTCGTCGTCGTCGTCGTCGTTGTTGTAGGCGTCGACGTCGTTGTTGTACGGTACGTTGTCGTTGTAGTAGGCGTCGTCGTCGTCGTGGGTGTCGTCGTGGTAGGCGTCGACATCGTTGTTGTTGTTCCTTGAAGTTCATCTGTAAATAATTAGTTAATTAAGTAATTTACACAAACAAGTTTTGCAGCATTATATTTAAGCGCTTTTGGAAGCAGAAAGGGGCTAAAATATTACTTAAGGAATATTACTTAAGGAAAACAACGGAACTACATTTATTTGTAATACTATATCAAGGAACCAGGACTCATACAGATTGGAGTTCACTTATTTTTTCAAGTTGGTTGTACCTTAAACTCGTCCCATTGGTTAAAGGATAATATATAGAGGTTATTTAATGGGAGGTTTTTGATACAGAGACGTTTTCCTTATGACTGGTAAAGTTGTGGTAGTAGTTGTTGTTGTAGAAGGTTGTGTTGTTGTTGTCTTCTATTGTCTTCTGGGTGAAATAGTAAGGACCGAGGGTTAAAATATTGTATTTACCCAGGAGTTTAAAATCAGGACCAGTTTAAAACCAAGAGACAGTAAAAACCTTCACACCGGCTGAAAAGCCAGTTTGTATTAATGTTGTAATTGCCGTTGAGTACTTCTGCACATAGTTATCGCCACCTACCTACAATCGAACAATCGAGAAGCAGTGAATCTCCACAGTAGAATGTCTGTGTTACTGTGAATGAAGGCTCATCAGATGGGTTGAAACTTGTTTCTATCAAAAACAAGCTCTTGATTGTTCTACCAGTTTCATAGTAGTCTGGGTAGTAACGATATTCAAGCAAAATATCTTGCAGTTGATTAACATTGCAAGAAGCTCTTTTGTCCTCGTGGTAATACTAAAAACAAAGATAGTGATGTACTTACATATCTGAAAACATAGATAATGATGCACTCGCACATTTGGTTTAGAGTGCAATGTAATTCAGCGCAGTGAAAAATACAATTTGAAAATAATAAAAAACGCCGAGATGATGAACTTGGACCTAGATTGCCATGCGTTCTTGTTATTAATTTTAAAAGATTATGTTTTAAAATAAAATTGTAATTTACGAAATTAGCCCCCTTGTTGTGACATGTTTAATTAGGCAACATTGTAACTGGCGAACGTCAGTCAGGTTAAGCAGGCCATATCTTCAAAGCGGACAATCTCAAAGGAGGAAGGAAAGTATTGCAAGAGATTTCGGACAGTCATATTATGGAATTTGGCTATTTTCCGAGGATTTAAACAGGTACATATTTTAGGCCTCTACATTACCTCCAGGAAAAACACTCATAGAGATGATAAAATAATTTCGACTTTGAAACAGGGAAGATGCAAACAAACCACCCACATGTTTCCAACCCCGTCCACCCCTGCTTTTTTCAATTTTTTAGCATCAATATGTTGCGTTTTGACACACAAATAAATCCTTTAAAGTCCCCGTCTAAAGTTTGAAAATATTTTTTATTTTTTATCATTCATTTACTATTTGTCATGACTTAAAAAGTTATTTTAGAGATTTTTGAAAAAAAAGTTGTGCGCATTTCATTTCTCAAATATTCAAATTTCCCGCCATTTTTCAAAAAAAGTTGACATTTTTTAATCATCAAATATTTCTTAATGCATTTCAAAAAAGATTATCTTTTTAACACCAATGCAAAGATTGACCAAAGGACACACTATTTCAATAATGAAATAAAATGCCATATTTAATGGGCCACTTCAATGTTTTAGCATATCAAAAATATTTTGAAACATTATTGATGACACTTAGGTAGCAAAAACTTTTTGAAATTTTTTTTCGATGTCAATCTTTTCTAAATATGCTAGACTTCGATAATAAAACGGATAAAAAGGTTAAACGGACGAATATATTATGTTTTTGATATCATTGTACCATTGGTTCCTACGAGAACTAAAATTTGGAAATCCATTTTTCTCGGAACCATTTTCATGCACTGATAAGTTCATTTCTCGCTTATTTATGAACCGATTTTCTTAAGGAGGATGAATGCTATGCATTGGTATGAATTGTGGCTAATAAAAAGATATGCGTGACCTCTAAAAGTTAGATTTAAATAAATTCACAAATTTTGGAACAAAAAGTCTATCAAAAACCATTTTTTGAAATTAAAAAAAAAGTTTCACACATCACACTTTGATAACATTGGATAAGACTACAATACAAGCCAAAGTGGTTTAAACTTTTTATGGGGATTTTAAAGGAATTAGTAATTCCTTCAGGGGTTTTAAAGATATCCATTATGGGTGACCAAAAGTAGCTGAAAGCAATTGATCGCATGAGTTTTCCCTATGGGAAAATAAAACGGGAAATATTGTTTTCCATTTTATCGAAGAAGAGGAATTACTTATTCCTTTAAAGGGGTTAACTGTGTCTTAAAACGCAACATATATGCAACAAAAATTGAAAAGCAGGGGTGGTGGCCGGTGGGGGTTCAAAATCAGGACAACAGTTTAGAAAAAACATGTTGGTGGGTTGTTTGCATCTCCCCTGTTTCAAATTCAAATTTATTTTGTCATCTCTATGAGTGATTGTCCTGGAGATTTGCATTTTACTAACATATGCACCTGTTTAAATGCTCAGAAAATAGCCCAAATCCAACGTATTACTGTCCAAAATCTGTTGCGATATTTTCCCTCCTCCTTTCATATTGGAATTTGGAACTAATTTGGAGAAATTGCATGATTTATTTTCTAAAGCGGACTTTGAAGCTCTCGTTTGCTCAGGGATCGGTAGTTAAAATCTCACTTCTATTGCCACAACTGGTCTATTGAGCGAAAGTACGGAAACTTGATAATTTTTCGGGACTTGGTATTCGCCAGCATTGATAGTATAATGTCCCTTCCAGTTGCCACCGGTGATCCAAGTATGCCCACGGTTTAACACTCTGGTGTGACATGCTGAAAGAATACAACACATCTTAACTATTGATACAAATCTGGTGAGTTAAGGTAGAAATATCTGTGTTAAGTTTCGATGATAATGAGCAAGAATAAGCAAAACGCGATATATGACTGGCACTATTTGTACTATTCAAGTTTCCTTTAAAGGCCCTATACAAAGATTAACCACTTATAGTTTATATTAGTTTTACCAAATGTTATCAAACTGTATGTGAAAGATGTTTTCAAAATTATTCATGAAGGATGTTTTGTTTTGTTCTTGAATTATTTAAATAAATACAAGGTGAGCCAAAAAAGGATTTTATCCGTGGGGCGAATGTATCCTCTAACAACCATTGAGACATTGAAACAAGACATAAGAACGAAAATGAAAGTCATTACACAAGATATTTGTTCTCTTGAACGTGAACAACTTCACCCGCTATGCCGCCATATTCTATATTATCAAGAGTCAACGGCTTAAATCCTTAAATAAATCATTAAGAATCATTTCAGTAAATCATTTAGAATCCATTTAAGTTTCGCCTAAAGTTTTTTAATGTAACACTATACAAAATTTTACATAGCAAAGAAAATGAAACTTAAATTGCGGGGCCGGGCAATGATATTTTGAATATGATTAATTGTCTCGGGTGTTATTTACCCAAATCCCAAGCATCTGATTCTTCAAATATATCTATGATCCGAAAATATGTGTCTGAAAATGGAAGTTTTTGGTATTTTTACATGCTTTTACACAAGCAAATCGTATATTGTACTATTTCTAGGCTGTTTTCATCGTTACATTAATGATTATAATTACATTATAGTTGAGTATCAATTAAATAACTATTATGATCTTACGATCGGTGCACTTTTTGCCGAGAAGAGTAACAAAGAGTAGCAAATGTATAAACTTTTAAAACATTTTTGAACTTACTCAGACATATGGTTTCTTCGATGAGCAGATAAAGCATTAGCTGAAAAAGAATACATTAATGTTTCATGAGGTATGAGGAAAGATATCAATGATGCAGATATCACTGGGAATGTGTATGATCTAACTCAAATGAGGTGCACTTTCCCACGGGCTCCTTTGATTCTTTTTGCCTGGCTTTGGAAATGTTATCATCACGAACTAGAGATGCCTTTCAGTGTGTAATCACATTAAAATCAATAATGTTTAGATTTTGGATATATTTATAATAGTTTGGGAATAAACCAATGTCTGCATAATTCTGCAGGGTACTTTCAGAAGAAAACAATGGCTGGGGGATCACCTGGTTTGTTTATTGTACTTTTAAACCCTATAAGCCATTCGAAGTTTAACAAATGTTTAACGTCACCTTCATAAAACTAAGTAAAATTTTAGTGCCATGAATTTACTAGTGATGAATTCAATTGACAATATGTGATGCTTCTGAAATGTGATTTTATATGTCAATTTATTAAGGGACCTAATTACAATTATTTTCCGTATTCATTTATACTCAATCGGCCAAGCAAACAGTACAAATGGGAGAACTAATCCACAGACGACCATAATTCTACACGTTTTTTTAAATGTGTATCTTAAACCTCCCTTTTTATTTGACCATTCGACACGACGTTAAACCTACGAAAGTTTTCAAAAACTAAAGAATAAAGCATTATTTGGCCATGATTTGGTAATGCTAACCTGTGTCCACTTCCTGTTGCCTGTACTTACCTTAATATTTACCACCATTGGTACCTATACTATAAAGCAAGAAAACATTACATAAGTATTTATGCGTGAATAAATGTACTTTTGGCAAAAGATAAGCAAACTTACCCAGAATAACATTTTCATTGAAAGCATAACGAATGCTAAACAGTACACACTCCCACAAATTAAGCCCAGACAACAATACAATATTATTCCAAGTTATGATGATAAGCCAACTATTTCTCAATTCACATTTGAACTTAGGCGTGTTTCAGACTTTTTCTGATTCCTGGTATACTGGATGCTATACAGAATTTATGCAACTGAAATCGGACTTGATTATGCCTCCGTTTGCAATATACTTATTAGTGTTGCCATCGGTTGCAATTAATGTTTCCAATGGATGTATTAACTGAGTTGTTTGATTTCTATGAGCTGTAATGAGCAGTCGCGATTAGATCATCCGTAATGTTTATGCAATTAATAATAGCCCTGGCAATGTCCATTTACAAATTAAGTTCTATTGGTACATTCACACATTTATATTCTGAGATAAATTGGTACCGAATTCCGTACAATAAGTGTACCAAATCTTATATGTGATAATGTCTTAAATGACAATTAGACAATTAGCCGTGTTTATAATAATATTATCTCAAATATTTAATATTCTTTTTAATAAACATGTTTGCATGTGTTACAATTTTCACTGAATTATGTCTTTTTCATTTTGGTTAAAATTTTGGTTGACAAAGTTGTCTCGGAAAATTGTACAGGGGTAGAATTAGGTTTCACAAATATTTTTCAATGTTTGTATCGCTACTTTTTGGCGTAATCATTGTACAAAGGCCGATCCAGAAGTTCTGATAAAAATGCTGTATCACTTGAAGTTTTTACATAGTTTACATTATTTATAATGGCTATACAGCAGGGAATTTTCAGAATGATTAATTGAGAGAACTTTCTGTAATCACACTTTTCCCACCCCATGATAGGGGCACTTGGTCCAGGATTTGAGCTCATATTGACATCATAACTCATATTGAAAATCAGAAAAAAATAAATCCAACTGTGCAATCCTATTTGAGGTAAAACTCAGCAAAGATAGGGCCGGTTTTAGGGCCGGTCCAAAGTCCAAACAGGGGTCCAAACAAAGTCTAGGGGGCATTATCCGGGAAGTATAGAGAATGCCCTAATATCCTTCTGTCCTAATACCTACATCATATTTAACTTGTTGCTGATGATATTGCAGATCATGCAGCGTTCATGTTTTCTGTATCAAGCAGGTATACTGATGTCACACTCATGAGAAGAGGATATCAACAGTAGTTATTGTTAAAACAGACATTTGTTATAGCGTTATTGAGGTTACCATAGCGACCATAACTTCAGAAATATTCATTACCAGCATTTTTATATCCTATGAGGGAATGAATGACCCAGTTACTCTGAAAATATTGTGGAAAACAGATGATAAACTTTTAAGTTTAAGTTTAAGCATTTTTATCAGAACTTCTGGATCGACCTAGTATATACAGGGTGGGCCAAAAAAAACAATACCCAAATTTAAGGATGAATATTATATGTTATAACGTTAAACTATGCCATATATTGTATATCCTTTTAAAGATAAATCATTTCCTAACAATATGACACCATCTGATTTAAAAACCGTTGTTTTTCTGTTGAGTTAGAGGCTAAAATTGACACCAGGGGTGTCATGAGCGACCAAAAATTATTCACTGCGGATTTTCAAATTGTGGAAAATGGAAGGAAATTTAATCTTTGGCACTTTCAAAAGGGATACATTTATCCAAGTATAGTGCAAAATTAAGCAATAATACACTTATATATTTTTAATTAGTTATCAATTGTGTATAACTCTTAAATAAATTTATGATGATTCAGTCAAATATATTGTGTGCAGCTGTGACTGCAATATGGAGGGAAATTTTGGAATTTTTGATTTTTGGTCGCTCATGGCACCCCTGGTGTCAATTTTAGTCTCTAACACCACGAGAGAGGTTTTTCAATTGAATGGTGTATATATTTGTCAGGAAATGATTTGTCTTTAAAATGATATATAATATATGGCATGGTTTAACATATATCATATGCATCATTCATCTTGAAACTTGGGCATTGTTTTTTTGGCCCACCCTGTATATTGGAATGTTTGGCTGGGCGTAAATCGGATCTATCATATCTTTCATCGAGAACGTTAATGTTAAACAGCATTTTTGACTTTAAGTTTTGATAAAAAAAATATTCAATTGATAAAAGAATTTTATTTTTATTTCAAGGTAGAAACTTTTGGGCATTGTTTTTTAATTTGGGCATTATTTTTTAAGTTTGGGCCCAAAAATATTTCTTTGCAAGTGCAGACGTTTTTGGCCTCTCTCCCAGATTTTCAGGATCGCTTCCTGGTGTCTTGTTAAACATACCATTTACATTACGAAGGGAGTTGGTTTAGCATGGATTTTTTTTATCAAAAACTTGTTACGGGAACGTATTCCCACGTTAATAGGAAACATAAAGGTCTATGGACAAACTTTTGAACCCTTATCACATAACGTTAATAAGTAATTTTCTTTCAAAAGAGTTTTAAGAACTATATGGAAGTTCCAATTCATTGCATTAACGTATGTAAGAGTGATTGTTCTAAAATTAAAAAGTATTCCCAGAAACCTTTTATTATTCTGAAGAATTCAATATTTTACTCAAATACTCTCGAGATTTTAATGGCTTCTCTTATTTCTTCTTGGAGGAAAAACAGCCAATGAACAAACAAAAACCGATCACTAGTCAAAGACAACAAATGCCTTTTGACAGATGAAATAACGAAAGGGGAAGAACAGTTTTCAATCTGTAATTTGATTATGTTCATTTTCAAAAGTCTATAATTACAGAATTTTAGGCTTTAGCCTTAATACACAAAAATGCCATTAGTCATAAAAAGCTGAGTATTTCGGTGTCAACATGCCGCTGTTACCTTATCCGCGTAATTTCTTCTTCAAACGACATCTCTCAAAAACATTTCCTGATTAGAGTTGTTTGTAGACTTTACAACTCTCATATCAATATTTGGATTACTTTACCGACTTCCATAGTTTAACAGAAAGTTTATATACCAACCCAATGGTTATTTGTGTATGTGACAAAAGAGCTTTTGACCAAGGTTGTAATACTTTTCATAAACGGTAGATGGTAAATGAAGCAAAGTGCGTTGCGATAATTCACTGCCAGTAAGTTTATTAATACTCCATATGCAAATGATGAAACACAACATGTTGCCAGGACGTCAAAATAAGCTCTGGAATTGTTACTAAATTGAAGGAAACAATAATAGTATGGCTATTGTAGTTCAAATCAAACTTTAATTCAACCAGTAACGCAGAAGCCTTAATTGAGACGACGACAGTCATTGTACATTGAAGTGTAGGAGTGAGGACGTAGTTCGGCAACTGTTAGTTGCAGCTACCTACATGTACACCATCTGTGGTTCAGTTTCGCCAAGACTACATGGAAATTAGCGAAATCTAATATAAAACTTGGCGTGTAAACACTAAGCACCAACGCAATAGAACAAGAGATGAAATGCAAACACAAAACCATGGAAAAAAAGTAAGTGAGCTATAGGCACAATATATGAGATATCTAAAATGAACTAAATTATGATAAATTATGTATTTTACAACTCCAAATATTAGATCTTAAAAATATACATGTATAGTACCTTGTCAAAGTGTCAACTTGTCCAAGATTAAAGACTTGTAAACACATAGAAACGCCTATCAATATATGTTTTCTATATAGCTGTTAAATAAAAGCAGAAATGTTAAAATTTGGTTTCCTTAATCACGCGGGGCGTATCGAAACCAGTACGTCTCGCAAAAGCGTTGATTTGAATTTTTAAACCTACCAGGTGTTTGAAAAACAAGGATTGTGAGTCTCACACTGCACCGTTTTTCTTCAAACCTGTTCCATGCAAAGCAAAACAAAATTGCCTTTCTGTCGGTGCATTACGATATTGTACAGTCAGGGTTCCTCGTTTTTGCAGCGTTTAGGTCCCCGGGTTTGAAATCTCGCAAATTTTCAGAGATTTCAACTACCAGTCAAGTATAGCCAGTTCTTTTCTCATTTTCGCCCATATTTTCCGAATGGACTCCCATTACAACCCCATCCATCGCTGCATCTACATGTTTGCGTATTTGACACAACAGTTTTGACAGAAACATGAATGAAAGTAAATATATGCGTATTGACAAAATGTAACTCAATTCGATCCTTGTATTGCTGCATCTTGGAATGGTTTCTGCATCAGAAGGATCAAACCGATCGTTGCCCTAGACCTGACGGGGCGTAGTGGAAGACAACGGGTCGCATTGATCAATTTTAAAGAGATCGATTTGAGGGTATTTTAAAAACTGCTGCATTCAATGTCAAAAAATGTAGACGCAGCAATGGAAATATTAATGGGCACCCAAACGGACATTATGGGCGAGAATGAGGAAAAGACTGGGAGATAACGCGACTTGTATAGTTGAATTTTAAAGCCGGGGCCCCAAACGCCGCAAACGAGGAACGCAATGCGCCGACAGAAAGGCAATTTTGTTTTGCTTTGTATGGAACAGGTTTGAAGAGAAACGATGTGCAGTGTGAGACTCACAATCCTTGATTTTCAAACATTTGGTAGGTTTAAAAATAAAAATTAACGGTTATTGCGGCACTTAATGGTTTCGATGCGCTCTGAGTAGTTGGACCCGCGCGTTAATAGAATATGGGCTTTTGGGATTCTAGGAAATATTCATACCTCCTTTGTTCAATTGTTCTTTCATTCACATAAGTTTCACTAGTCTATTCCAAATATCCATGATGGTATGGTCATTTTACAAAACGGGCTCCAAATGGCGATGGGGCTTGTTCAAAGATAATATCTACAATTGCCACTCCAGAAGCATCAGAGAATTGAAACAACAGATTAGAAGGAAAATGTGAACCATTACATAAGATATCTGTGAGTGTGTTTAGTCAGAAAATCATCACCTGGAGCGTTCAAGTTTCCTCTAGAGACAAGACCGGCATTTTGAGCATGTTTTGTAAAATGGCCACAAAACTGTGTCTATTTTACCAATATATTTGTATAACCCTTAACAGTTGGGCTTCCACAACCGTTGCTCACTAGCAATACTTTCCCGATCGACTATATTTCCAAAGCGTGGTAACACAGGATTTTTTTTAAAAGTCTACCAATTGGTTAACTAATTTATGATTACTTCAACCAAGATATTTTGCAAATTTTTATCTCAAAATTACTTTTTACTTACCTTTTATCGTATGATCATGGGTATATCATGTGCTATTTGACATTTAAATGGTGTTTCAGGTATGTAGCATATAGCTAGACAACTGGACAAACATGACATGCTCTAGTAAATGTCTAAAAAGCTGTGTCGACTGAAAACTGAATGAACACATTATAAAGAAGGAAATGGGCCCAGTAATGATTTCCCAACTCGTACTGTGGATATTGTTCATGACGAAACTTATAGGTAAGAAAAAAGAAAAACGTAGATAAATTCTCGCTGGATATTTTATCCACAAAAATTTGCAAGTTCTTAACCCACACATGCATCCATTTATCACTTGATAAAAAATGAGGTTTTGGCAAAAGCTAATCCTATTTTAATCTTTAACTTAAAGGTGATTAAGTAAGCACTCCAAAACCAAAGTAAAATAATTTCACTATATGATGTCCTAATATTTATCATTAATGATGCAAATTTTTGTAAATACTTTTTTTAGAATAAATAAATAAATAAATAAAATCAATCAAGTGCTCTTTAAATTTCAGGTTTTTATCAATAATCATTTCAACAAATTTTTCCTGGAAGTTTATGTTCTCGTTACGTTTTTTGAGATTCAGATGTGTTTTATTTATTTTGGGTCCAAATAGAATATCTTGACCCAGTCATCTATTAAATTAATCATATTTGATTTTATTCTTGTCATAAGTTCTTTTATATTATAGTCGCTATTCAGTAGATTGGTGTCGTCAGCAAACATAATCAATTTTAGATTAGGGGCAACAATAGCTAGATCATTTATATAAAGAATAAATAATAGCGGTCCAAGTACCGAGCCCTGCAGAACACCATAATTTAGAGATGATTGTCTGGATAAAGGTGACAAATTGTTTGCGGTCTTTAAATCGTTTTCAATCAATAGACATGATATTTTCCTCATCACTACACCGTAGGATGGTTTTGTAGGGCCTGGTTTTGTACAATCATCACGAACTTGATGAGTCCAAGCAATAATTGAGTTGTTAATCACACGATATTACACTACAGCGTTTAACTTGAATAAAAGAGGTAAGCTTCTCTGTAGAACTTAACCCCCTAGACATTACACACGTATTCTATAACTCTTTAGGATCGCATGGGTCTTCGGAACCGCATGACTCATCAGAATCGCACCAGTGCTACGAGATGGAGTACGGGGATTGCGTGTTCTATGATCCATCGATATGTATGGTTATATCAACCGCAAAAGCTACATACGCCCAAGCAACAGAGTGTTGTGAGAGTAGCAGTTTCACTCCTGATGGTGGTATTTCAAGTACTACAGGCCATCTTGCATACCTTATCGAAGAGGAGCTGTGGAGTTGGCTCAACTCACATATTACTTCAGAAATAAAGAATTGGTGAGAGTAATGATTATTTTAGAGACAACTGCAAATTCGAATGCCTACATTAAATCACTAAATGCTCCCTTGGCTCTGATCTGCAGTATGTTAATATAGCTTTAATTATTCAGAGATGATTGAAAGGTTCAATATTTAGGTTTAGTGATACTTACAATTGATACTCATTTTTTATAGGAACAAGGCTTATTGGATTGGTTTGGAGTATTCGGAAACATGTCAATGGTGCTGGCACAACGGCTCGAAAGCATCTTACGCAGCTTGGAAGGTCGGGGAACCAGACTATCCGGAGTTGGAGCAATGTGTCCTCATTCAAATTGGAACAAAGACAACAGAAATAAATCGGTGGGAAAGCAAAGACTGTTCATACAAGGCGCGTTACATCTGTCAATTTGATATCTTGGATATTAATAGTGACAACTCTACAACCAGCAATTCATTGAACACTAGAGACAATTCAATGACTAAAACAAGTGCTTCAACTAGTAGAACAAATTCCCCAACCAGTAAAACAAATGCCCCAGCCAGTACAACAAATTCTTTGACCAGTACACATGCTCCAACCATTACAACAGATGCTCCGACCAGTACAATGAATGATTTAACCAGCATAGCAAATGCTGCAGCCAGTGCATCAAATGCTCCAACAAGTATTAGGACAACAAATCCTCCGAACAGTGCCGCGAGACATTCGACTAGCTATAGTGCAGAAGATGAAAAGGTCTCTTTCCAACTTCGTCCAAGTGCCTCAAGTCAACTCAAATATATCGCCGATGTAGTTGAGCAAACAGCGGGAAATATGACGCCAGAAGACATAATGAAAACAGTTCACTTTCTTGGTGTTCAAGTGGAATGGATCGTGGATTCGAATATGGATGGGTCCCACTTAAATTATTCTATGCAGGTAGTTTTTATTGTCATTAGCTCGTTTTCTCATATTTTTAGACTATGCATGACATCCAACCCTCTTCGGATTGATCACATGACTCTGATCTGATCATATATTATACACAGACAATTCTAAAAGTAGAGAAAAGATAAGAGTAAAAATATATATGATTTACTTTTAGTTGATAGCAGACTTAGTAAACAATTTACTAAGTGACGCAAATAGGAAAGGTATGGACACTTTACAAAATATCTGGAATACCGGCAGTGAATTGATGTTTCACGTTGAAAAATTAGCTGCCCATATCTTCACCACCATGCTTCACGAAGAAGAGTACGAAATAACCAGAGATTGTATTGGTGAGTTCGCTTTTACTAACACCAAAGAGTGAAACACAATTGCTCACAACGCTCCCATACACTCTTCAAAAGCTGAGAGTGTTGGGCACAAAGCGATCAACTGGGTAAATTATGATTTTTGTTTTACAGTATTATTTTGTTGAATTTTGAAATTTTCAGTTTCAATTGTTACGAATAGTTACTTAGTACAACGACGGGGCTTAAGAATAATCACTGAGATATGATTAATATGAGTATTTTATGTGTTGTATTTACCTAATGTTGAAATAAAATGGAACATATACGTGTCATTAACTTCCCTAAAGGTAATTTGAGGTCCATGGTCTTAATAATTTTTAGTCCTTCGAAATCCATTTCATGAAGACCTTTTCTTTGGTATCTTATTTCAGAGACATTCTTCTTTTTATAGTACTGTATATCAAAAACCCGGGGCATTAAACAGCTTTCTATTGTTTCAGTCTTTTACGCCAGGAGGTCACGCTTGAAGGATTTTGGGACAATGAACACATACAATGATGCAATGGGTGTCACAAAGCTCCATGCCAATGTTGACGTGCTTCACCAAGACCATTCACGTAAGTTCATCCCATGCCCAAGTGACGCCATGTATGTATGTATTATTGGAGTGCAACAGAGTATAAAGTTCTATTGGGAAATGATCCATGTTGGATATATTTATACTTCTCTTAATGCTGTTGGGAGAATTTTAATTTTAAATTCGTCATATGTATAGCTAATGTATTTTCTCATTCTAGTGGATTCAAACGTCACTGTTGTGCATATTATGTATAAAGACATGTGGAGAATGCTACCAAGTAACTATACTGGAGTTAAAAGGTACATGTCTTTACAAATAACTTCAATGACAAACATTTTATTTATTATCGATATTTGAGTCATTATTTTATATCCGTATTTTTGCCTAACAGAGCCGATTTTCTATATGTTGAAAACTTTCTTCAAATCGGTCTCAATACACAATTTTAACAAAAATATAATATAAATCACTATAAAATAACGTGTTACCTTTTGCATTTGCAACCAATTCAATTTTGTATATAAACCTCATCTAGATACGACTAAAGATGTATATTATGGAAATTTTTGTATACGTGAGGTACATGTACATGATCTATATTCACAAATGCTTCACTGTTTTCAGTGTTGACCGTGTTGGTAGTAACGTCATATCTGTCCAAGTATTGCTTGAGAGGGATCCCGTCAGCGTTCCAATACTATACTCCCTTCAAACAATTGTAAGTCTTTATATTTATGTCAACTTACCCATATTAGGTGAGTTATGACTATGACCCTACTTAACTTAATTGTTCCTCATTTAAGAGCTTTCACTTCTTTAGTGATCGACTCATCCACGAACATGAAGGCTTCTTTTATTCGAATTCTATGAGCAAGTAAGGTTTTTAATGCACATGCAGTTTCTCAAGTTGCAATATTCCTGCATCTTGCAGAACCAAAATGACAGCGATGCAGCTGGAATCTGTGTGTTCTGGATGTTTAACTCGAGTCTACCAACTGGAGGAATGTGGAGTTCTGAAGGCTGCGAAAGCATAGAGATTGGCAGTGAAACTACACACTGTTACTGCAATCATACTACAAACTTTGCCGTACTCTTGCAAGTGGTGGACATTCAGGTACATAAAGCCTCATAAATTATATTTGCAATACTTCTCGATGCCTAAAAAATACTCTGATCGATGTGCTGGACATTTTGATCAACATTTTTATGACTATAACCATATTGCATTTGTACTGTGTCTAATTCTAGATTGTGACTGGTCATAGTCAGGCGTTGGACATCATCACTTACGCAGGCTGCAGCATCGCAACTGTTTGCTTGTTGGCTTCCTTTGCTGTCCTCCTCACTACTCGCTCGCTTGACTCTGATCGTATGACAATTCATAAGGTTCTCATCGCAGTCATCTCATCTGCCAATATTACTTTCTTGGCGGGCCAACAAGCGGTTGGAAATCAGGTAAAGGCTTTGGCAAGTTTTATTGAATTGTGAGTTCTGACATCAAATACGCCAAGCATCAACCCAACTTCATAACCGTTCTTTCTAATTAAAAAGCAACGAATTCAAGATAATTTACATTATCCCTATGTAGATTATCCCTATTCTATTTGAAAAATAGGAACGTTATAGTTATTAGTATTGCACATACCGCATTGTCATTGTAGCTGGCGTGTCGTCTTGTTAGTGTTCTGCTTCACTTGCTCTGGCTGTCCGCATTCGCGTGGATGTTGGTTGAGGGACTCCATCTTTATCTCTATGTTATTGTCGTATACCAGTCCAAACTTAGGAACTTGAAGGTTTACACTCTTATTGGTTTTGGTAAGTCCAACCATTAAGTTTTTTCACAATGGAATTTTTACAAATAGGTACAAATAATTTATGGTTCGTGTTTATTTATTGGTTGTTTTAAAGGGATCCCAGTGTTGATAGTGGGTGTGTCAACTGCGTCTGGATTCTACGGCTATGGGCTCAACAATGATCAGTAAGTACAACCAGGACTTGCGAAAAAACTTAAGAGTAAACTAAACCAGTTTGTGACTGTATGTTGGTCAAATAAGTTACTTAGTCCATTTTGCAATTGAAGTTAAGTGCGATTAATAATAGGAAGGTTTAAGCCACACGTTTCAAAGAACGTGAACGTGTCTTATTATGACCAGCGAGGATTATTCTCCCCTCTTAAACCAGTTGGTACAGCCCATGATTAAGCTGGTTTCCCAGGGATCTAATTACAACTAACTAACTTCCTCATACCTCATACCTTTATACTCAATCACTCAATCGGACAAGTAAATTCTACGAAGGAAGAACTCATCCCTAGAGAAACAACCAGCAATCCCTGCCACCTTTTGATATATCAACGAATCTATATGATATTTTTGATTAGACAAATTGGTACCTACAACCTATGACATCATCAATCTAGCCAATATATCATAGCTTCTTTCATATACCAAAAAGTGGCAGGGTTTATGGGAAAGGTCTATTCTACACGTTTACGTACACGTTATCTTAAATGTATAGCTCAGACTCTCTGTTAACTAGCAGGCTCATCGGCCCATTCTGCAATATTTTCAGTTGCTGGCTATCTATTGACACAGGCCTTATTTGGGCATTCGCTGGACCAGCCATTCTTATACTCTTGGTAAGTAGCTGAAACCCTTCTGAATATTGAAAGGGAAGTATTTGTAATTACGATACGAACTTACTTATTAGGTTCTCATTAATATAATGTGTGAAGCTTTAAAGTATGAAACACAAAGGTTGGTTTCTTTTTCAGATGAACAGTGTTCTATTGGCATTCGTGGTAAGGGCAATAATGAAGGCAACCATTGTACATAAACGATCGGACTACCAACATGTCAAGTACGTATATTATATACACTATACATCATATCTACGGATATATGAGGTGTATGAAACACTTGGATAAAAGTGATATCTTTTTGCTATATCCATCTCGCTTACATTCCCCATATTTACCTCCCCGGAGATTTAACTGTTTCGTCCTGTGAAATAATTTTTAGTCATTAATCTTTTAATTTGTTTTTGTCTTATCAGGACATACAAATGTTATCCCCGGTCGGGACTGTATCCTATGAAACCAATATACAATCCCTCCCTGGGATAACCTCTATATGTAATGAATTTGCATTTTATTTTAGAGCTGGATTAAAAGGAACTCTGACATTAACTCCCATACTTGGCTTGACATGGGCGTTTGGTTTATTAGCTGTAAAAGAAGAACTAGTGGCATTCAGTTATATATTTGCTATCCTCAATTCAATGCAGGTATGTGGCAACACTGGGGTCTCCCCTCCATATACTAAAAGTCTTGTTTCGCAGTGGTACTCATGTTCATGAACTTGGTCAAGGTGTGTTTGTGTTTTGTCCTGTGATATTGTGTGTCAGTTCATGTGACTTAATATTACATTATTATGCTCTATTATGTTCTGTTCAGTAGTGTGTCCGAATATTTGACAATGATATACTTGATTCCAGGGTGTGTTCGTGTTTTTGTTCTTCATCGTTGGCAACTCGGAGGTGCGGACAGCTGTAGCAAGGGAGGCGAAGAAAAGAGCTAACGCTGTGAGATTACATGCTTCACAATTTAACTCCAGCTCGGTGGTAAGAATTTAACCCAATTAGACCACCGGCTATGGGCCAAGAGTGTTAAATTTAAAAAAGCGATTAAATATCGAACATTACTTATACTCTGGCAAAAAAGTCTGGTTACTATATTTATAATCCAACAGGTCAGACGCATATTTGTAATATGTATATTTAGCTCCTTTATGATGGGTTGTTATTGCAATGTTACAAAAAGATTGCATTTTGTTTCCATATGCCTAGCATTGTCTTCCTAATATTGTAAAACTTTACAGGGACTAGGCCTGGTCATACAATTTTGCCCTGAAGCTTTTGCCAAAACATCATTTGACAAGAACCTATTTTTTCTTGGCCCCTCTTTCGAATGAACGCCCATGTGTTTATAAGCGACAGAATCTGGTGGGAGAATGAATTGATAGCACTAGTCATAATGATTGCAATAAAATTTCAAATTTTGTTTCAGCCTCATATAAACTCTGGACAGTTGAGCAGTCAAGATGGCCAATCACGGAGAAGTTCTGCTAAAAGTTCCCTGGAAGTGAAACAATTTATGCCAATTCTCGAAGAAGCTGAAAACGCGCCAAAAAGACAGGAACGTGAACACTCTAATTCAAAATTTTCTAAAAATGATGTATGTATAATAGAGAGTACCATGCATGGGTCGGATAATGCAAGTTTTGAACATGATAATGAGAATCCATCGGAAACTAAAATGATAGAGAAAGCTGTATCACTGTACACAGCACAGCTTAGTTGCAGTAATATTTCTCTAAGGGACAATACTGGAGTATTGGAAGATCTAGATGCAGGTGATTATTCTGACTTAGATAATTCTGACATTCTCTCTTTGAGGTCACCTTCGTCATTAAGTAAGTACTCATTTAACGGTGATAATCATTTAGTTGAAACCAAAAACAATGTATCTCATTATGGTAGAACAAGGTCAAAATATAACACTAGGTCCAGCAATAAAGAAAGATCTGCATCAAACAGTGAATCATGCACATCTGACAATGTTTCAAGATTAAACAGTGGATCATCAAGGTCAAGCATTGAATCATCAAGATCAAACAGGGTATCATCAAGACCAAACAGTGGATCATCACTGTCAGACAATGGGTCATCGAGGTCAAGCAATAGATCATCAAGGTCAAAAAGAGAATCATTAAGGTCAAATAGTGTATCTTCAAACAGTGTAACTAGTGGATACAGTAGTTCCAGATCAAGGATTGGTAGTATTGCAAGAACATCAAGTTCAACGTCTGCAAATAGTTTCAAATTATGTGAAAGACAATTTGTGAGAAGAGCAAGTACTCAAAGTGAGGTTCTCTTCACTGGGAATGAAGTGTTAAAAGTGCAGAAGGAGAACTCCTGGGTGGAGGGAGGTAAACAAACAAAGAGAAGACAGCAAAGCAGAACGCCAAGGATCATTGTACAGAATTTTGAAGATGTTGTTTTACAAGATATATAGTTCATGTGTTGTCCATATGATATGTAATGAAATTGTACATACTAGCTTATTATAACACTGAAATATAACACCTGCATTCAAAGCAGTAGATTAAGGAAATAAACTTTATGTGTTCAATAGCTGATATTTGTGATTTTACTAAGAACTATACAGACTGTCCCGAAACACTTGAAAATTGAACCCAGACAAATGTAGAATAACTTTGAATAATGAAGGAATATTCTTCTGATAGACACTTTGATTATTATAACTTCTGAAAGATTCACTCGGGATCTATTGCATTTTTGAGAAAATTTGTTTTACTTTCCGATTTCTAGAAGCGTATCCAGTGCTGCATCGATGGTGATGGAGAGCATTTAGAGCATGGTATCTAAAATATCTCAGTAAATTCTAGCAATGTTACTCTAATTAGTAAATAAATTCTCTATCATGTAAAAAGTTCAGCTTTTTAGTAACAATGAAAAAAAAAGTTATTCTTGTTTTATCATCCGGGTACTCCCGCTAGGTATACTTTTATTTCACAAATAAATGAATAGATAAGAGCCGATATGTAGGCCACTTTCAAATAAATGTCAGAAGTTTAACTTACGTGCTTGTCGACGTCTCCTCAATTCAAAAAGTAGTAGTGTCTCGCAATGAATTCAATATTTTTTAAAACAAATCCTGTGAGGGAAGTGAGAATCTCTGATACTGTATGGTATAAAGTATGTTTTTATGAAATGTGGCAGCCATTTTGAACTGACCAGATATACACTCGGAAAAGTTATTCTCGGTCGGATAGAGGTCCTCTGCCCATAAGGCATCACTAAAAATTTGGACCAAATTAGACAGTATTTGTTTATCTTAAGGACAAATGAATGGAATGATAAATCGACAGGCAAACCTTTTCTACAGGATGCTTCATAATGACAGTTCATACACATCCATGGAGTCTAGATCACAAGCCGCTATATTCTACATCACCAGCGACATGATTGACTACAGGGAACATACTTTTTGAACATATGGTAGTCACTATCTCGGCCAAAAATTTCTGATATACAGGCATACGCTGAAATGCAATGTTCTTTTGTGAGAGCCCAACTCTTCTGGGCTACCCAAGTGTCCAGACTCTTGTCCAATTACAGTTTCTAGTGACAAATGAAAACATCTTAAATATCTTTAAAATGATGCAAATGTAGCCTATGTTTTAATAATATCACCCTTTAATGGTTTAAGAACATTAGCCTTTAAATGCTTTGGAAGCAAGCCAGTCATCTTTATTGTACAGTAAGATAAACCAGATTGAATTCAAGGCAAACAAGCCAATGACTCAGATGCAAGTAGGTAGTTACCAGTTTCACCACCAGGTGGCTCGTTCGGGTCAGATAGCATAGCGGGTATAGGAGAAAGTTCGCTTTAACTTAATATTCATCTTTTTTAGCGGTTCAATTTTCACATCACCCTTATGTATCTAATAGTTATGCAAATTAAAATATGCCCAGTTAAAGAAAGTGTTACACTCCCCTCCATAAGTTTGGCAACCTTAGCTCATCTAGTCTATTATCTTTTTCCTTGCTACAACTACAGTGTCTCAAAAAATGTTACACTTACAAAAAGTTCAATATCTTTCATAATTTTGACTTTTGACGTAGAAGATTGACCTTTAACTCAGTCATTCTGTAATTTTCCTATTTGTCTTACATATGATCATTGGCCATGGGTCTGTCCGCATAAACATGTTCTCCAAAGCAAATCTGAGGTACCCTTGTCCATGCACACATGAATTGCAATATCACACTGATTCCATCAATTATTTTTGCAGAAGTTCATTTAGGTCAGTTTGTGATGAAAAATCATGAAAGATATTGACCTTTTTGTAAGTGTAACATTTTTTTGAGACACACTACATATAAAACAGATGTCTCTGGGCAGGCGAAGCGATTGAATGGTTGGTTTTACCGGCTGGTTTTTGCATAAAGGTACATTCTAGAATTATTACCTTTATTTGGTTTTACATAAATGTCACTCAAACACTCACGTTATGAACTATCCATTTTTAAGGCTCATTCTGCACTCAGACTAGTATGTTTTCATTTCTTTTAAATCGCCCCTCGTATTTGTATATTTGAACTTACTTTTCATAACTATTGTGGTGCACTTGTTCATTGTAAAAGTTCAATTCATGAAACGTAAAAAGCAATACAATGATTTAAATGTGTATTCATATTGTGAATTGAGAAAGCTCAGCATGGTGGAACATTTCATAGACTGCATATGGTAAGATAGGCTTTATTAATTTCCATGTATAAAATCAAGATTTATATCAAACTGTTCAAACATACAAATGTAGCTGCAACGGGTGGTAAATTGCCAATTTTAACCCAATGGCCTTCACATTTTCAGGATTCTAAGGTTCAGCTGGAAAGTAACATTTTGGTAAAAAATTGCTATACCTGCACATGTTATTTTCTGGTAAACTATAAAGTATGAAGGCATGTGTTATTTTCCTTGCTTTTTTCAGGAAAGTGTCATTACATTGTCTTCTTGTAGTATATCTGGTAGGAGGTCAATGGGAACTCCAGAAAATTCTGATATTTTACACTTTCTATTTTTCCAAAGTTTCTTTCAAAGTTTCCACACAACACAGGAGCTACCATTGACCTGTTTCCAGGTTTATTAAAAGTAAACAATGTAATGATACTTTCCTGAAGAAAGCAAGGAAATACAGAAATGCCCTCATACTTAATTTTGTACCAGAAAATAACATGTGCAGGTATAGCAATTTTTTTACTAAAATGTTACTTTTCAGCTGAGCCTTAACCATTGATGGTTTCTGACAACCGTTTTATTGTAGCAGTACAATCATTCTAATTATGTAAACATCTGAAAATATACGATCAATCTTAAAATTCATGACTTGAATACTTTTTTATTCAACTTCATGACAAAATTGAAGCAGATATTTTAAAGCTCGTGGTTACATGCACAATTCAAATAACTTAGGTCATATCAAACTGCTTTTGTATTATTTTACATTCTACTTTATGAAATAAATTGCTATTTACTGTTTTCATGGATTTCAATATTTGGTATTTTTGTTTCAATTATTCAAAATCAGTTCTGTTTGAAAGGTGAATTTAGGTTTTCTAGGTTGAACTAGTACTTAGGTAACAATGCTCCCTTAAAGGACCCTCCCGTCTTCGGTGTAAAGGTTAGCACTCTGGACTTCTGATGCCAAGATCCTGGGTTCAATCCCAGCTTGCGGCGACAGGAGCCAGCTCAAGCTAACTAGCGCACCAGAGAAGTTGATTACTAGAGTGATACTAACTCGATAAAAGGCCTGTGCTGGCTTGAACTGTCTATGGTTCTAGCCAGGATAAAGATACCAGCTCCTGTCAGATTAATACGGGGAGCTGTTTCTACCTTAGGATATCAAGTTACATTATCCTACCACACGTATATGCCCTTTGGTGTCTGTGTGAGATATGTAACTCAAATGAAATGAAATGAAATGAAAAGGAACTACTGTGATAAATCTAGTATTTTACAATATCATAAATAATCCATCCACCGTTAGGACCTGATTTCATTTCATGGTATGGGTCATGTGCATGTTCTTTGTCTTTATATAACTTTATGGTTCGCTTATTGCAACTTGTTTTCTTCACCGCGCTAAAGCATGACAGCTATGCCAAAATAACCCCAAAAGTTATAAATCGAAAACGATTTAGCCCTATCTGGATCTCCTCCGTAATAACTAAAAATGTAACTTTAAGAAGGCCTACAATGAACAAACTCATAATATTTGGCATCCTGTCATCAATTCCGAAAAATCCATTTTGATCCTTTGATAAACATGAAATTAATGTTTTTATTTTTGAACGACCCCCGTAGATACAACACAAGTGAAGATGAACTCATTTTATCATTCCATTTAATTAAGAAAGCTTGAGCAGGAAACATATTACAATGGCAAATGGTGAAGGATTTCCAACACAGTATGACCAAATAGGATATGTCCATCCACCGCAGATGAATGAACGTGTGGCAGAGGACTTGGTAACAATCTTATATGGAATGGAGGTAATCTAGAACCATTGTTTTTATTATCACTTTGAAATCAAAATAATTGCCAGTCAAAACAAACCAGAGTCTAAAAAACATGGTGTGTTTTACTTCATTTTATTCATGAATTTCTATCTTGTTAATAGGTAACTTCTATCACACCATTGGTCAGTTACAGTGATAAGAACTACTATGTGACAGTGAAGGATGTCAACAACAACCCTAATGTTGAAACTCTTTGGCCACATGGATACACGTTAAAGATCACAAACTCGATAGATTCTCAAACAAATCATACAGGTATATGACAATATTTACACATGACAATATATGATAATATTTCCAACCATGATATAAGAAGCATTCATCAATATCACGCCAAGTGATTTAGAAGTCAATCTGACTGTGAAAATCATATTTCCAGCTGCAGAGCATTTATTCCAAGGTCTGTTAGCTGATCATGGTATTCCTTGTCCTAGACCTGTGCTCAACACCCATGGCGATGACCAGTCAATGGAGACCATCTACACACCAACGTCCCAGCAGGAAGGATGGGTCAGCAATGCAGGTATGAACAGTGTTCAAATAAGCTTCAGGTTATAAATAGAAATTGACCAAACCGAAACCAAATGTAATGTCTTACCGACCACCATACAAATTACTAACCCACATGTATATTCATACGATATATCTAACGGCAATTAATTGACTTATTGAAATCTCAAAAACAGCAAATCGTATGCTAGGATTCTTGATATGTGATTCAAATAGAAAACGCAAGATCTGTGAGACTTCTGTTAAAATCTAGAGAAAGATCAAAATATTCACCTCTTTTACATTTTGGCATCTGATATTTTGGGTTCTATCGTGATGTCAATCATTAAATAATCTAGTTATCATCACAATTCTGTTTTTCCTGTGAAAAGATGCTATTACAAATTAAGACTATACTAGTATATGGGCATCATAATATTCTAGTAGCCAGTTTATTTCTTTTTGATAAATAATCCATGCCGAATTTTATTAAAGAAGATAATAGAGACAGGATGTATGGAAGACACGTGGTGCGCCTGTTAACATACATTCCAGGAAAGACACTAAACAGTGTTCCACACACAGCACACTTGTTCCATAGTGCTGGCAAGATGATGGGGAACGTGCATAAAATTCTCAAGGTATGCATAGTAGTTAATTGTAATAAACGTCTATGTATGTACATTGATTGCTTAATTTGCTCCTGATTCGTCTGTCACTCTTTGAATGTTACGAAAATGCTTTTATTATATCAAAATACGATAATTCATATGATTGACAGTTTAAGTTTAGTTATGTAATGCAGTGACATATGGTTGATATTTTTTATTTGATTCATTGATTTGATTATTACTGATATCTTATTTCTGTGTCACAGAATCTTCTAAAATATAACAATCACAAAATATAAAAACAAGATTAAAAAACAACATTGGACATCTGCTTTTGAGGCACCATGCCAGTGATTATGACATTTCAACATATACATGTAAGCACAATTGCCAAAGGAAAGGGACCAAAAGTTGAAATGAAAAACTAGCAAGAAAGAGCAAACTCTAAGTGGTACCAATCATAAAAAATCCCAAGCCCCATATATCCAAAAATCATGATCTAACTTGAAAAGAAATAATGTCTGATACACCCTTTCCCCTCACCATTCAACTGTTTTAACCATTATCACAATCCAAGACCAAACACCAATGGACATTTCATTCATACTGAGGTCACTACAATACATGTTGAAGAAAAATAGCTAATACTCATATCATCAAAAATAGTTGTAGGTACCAGTACTCACACAAGATAGAGCATTCCATTCTGATTTATCAGGGTCCCTCTTTACCTAACGCTTTTGAGAGTCTGAACTATTCCAAAAGGATAGAAAAGGCTGTGGATCCCACAATGAGAGCATTCAGTTTCAAACGATGTGGGATAGGCAAAAACCATAAAAGAGATATAACACGGATATAACAATTGAAAAAGATTAATTTAATCATGCAAATGCACTGTCTACACCCTTTTGTTAAACGACTCCCTTTGTTATTCAAATAATTGTATGTTTACATTTTACTGTTTTCCCCTTAGGAAAGCAACTTTGAACATCCAGCTTATGAAGACTATCAGACAATGTGGAACATGACCAGTGTACCTAAACTAGCCGATCTTCTTCATGTACTCTCAACACCTGATGACAACAAACTAATACAAGATATCATTGAGCAGTTTCAAAAACAAGTAGTGACTAACTATGAGAAAATGAGAAAAGGTAATCTTCATATTATGAAAGTAAATTACTTACTGAGAAATTTGACAATTTAGATGATATGCTCTATGACTTTCATAAAGATCGAGAAGTTCATACAATCCCTAACATTGAAAAATGGGTGATGGTACTTGAACAAGCTTCTCTCTTGAAATAAATTGCCTGTTAGACGATTCAGATGATTATGATTATTCGTCCAGATGATCAAATTTCAAATATAGTTCTTCATCACTCACAGAGTATATCATATATGTATGTTTGGACAAAAACCACATTCAGATCTTAATAACTATTATATTGTCTGTCAGGTGACCAAATGTCAAGAATATTCCTTTTCGTTCACAAAGTCATCCATATTTGTCTCGGTACACTTTTTGAACATTGGTACACATTGGAACACATGTTTCATTGGTAATGGTAAGTTATAAAGCTCTGGGTCTGGTTTCCTTTCAGGAATAATCCATGGAGATTTCACCGACTACAATCTCCTTGTGAAGTCAACAGGACAATCAAGTGAGAGCACGGACCTGCAATCACATGAACTCTACGAAGTGTTTGGAGTGTTGGACTTTGGCGACTCATGCAGCTCCTACTATGTCTTTGATGTAGCAATTGGAATTTGTTACCTTATGTTGGAGAGCAGCATTGTTGACCCATTACATGTAGGAGGCCATTTTCTGGCTGGATATGAATCCGAATTTGAAATAAACAAGACTGAGTTTGAAGTCTTGAGGGTTTGTGTGGCAGCTCGGTTTGCGCAAAGTTTGGTCTTGGGCCTTTCTTACTCCAAACGTGATCCAGGGAATACGTACTTATTGACTGGACAGAAGAATGGATGGATAGTATTGAAAAAGCTGTGGAATTGTCCTTCTACCTCGTTGTATGCAACATGGCAAGATATTACAAAATCCTACCAGAACTAAATACCATTAGACAAGAGGAACACGATTCCTGCTAAAATTGAATTTACAGATAGATTTTTAATACCCTTTGCATTCGTTTGACTTTACTTCTTAAAGTCCCCGATAAATCGGGCTACGTATACCGCCGTGTTTACATTAGGGATTAGAAGAGTTTATTTTTTATTTAGGTATGCAAGCTACGTACTTGCATTCATTCATGTACTCGTGTGCATGTAATCAGCATGCCCATCAATATTATGTAAACCAGGCTATTCAAGTACTGTATAATGTACACTATTTATTTGTGTACTACATACAATACAATTCCCTGGGAAACAAAACACAAATACTTTTTATATGTTCAAAATGAGCCATTTGATTGATGCAAACACTAAATAGCTTCATAAATAACATCTACAAAGTATATCAAATAGTAATTTTCAATTTCAATGGTGAAACTTCCCTGGTTACGATTATATGGGAAATCATCAAGAGACGAAGATCGTTCGCCTTCCTGGCTTACCTCTGAATCGTGTACCTGGTAATCTCTTTATATAGTTTAGCGAGAGCGGTGCGCCTGCGCAGTTTTAAACTTTGGCGCACACTTTAAAAGAGAGCTTAACTTAAGAGTTTAACTAGACTCTGCGCGCAGGGTAGATTTTTAATATTGTCCAAATATTAACTATTCTTCACAAATTATCGGTCGCAAATGTAATATTAGCTAAATTTATACTCCCCAGATCATGAACATATGGTTTCGAAAATAAATTCATATTTCATATATGTTCATTTTGATTTTGAATTATACAGTATACAGTGCACAGCTGATGAAAGTGATTGTTAGATTTGTAATATTAGATTTGAAGCAATTACTATTGCTTGGTCATCATCTTTTTAGTTACGAACTTTTGGCAAATATTTGTTTTGAAAGGCTGAATGATATATTTTTAATTACTGAATAGTTTATTTACACTAAGACTTTTTGTTATTGTACGTATTTCGTAAAAGGCAATTTTTCGTATTTGAATTGTTTTTGATTATATCTTATTTACCATGTAACAGAATAAATTAAAATGACACTAGCCTACTGAATATAATTAATTTAATCTATCAAAATGTGTATTTATGTCAAATAAAATAAAGATGTGTATTCACAAAATCTGCTGTACAGTGGACAAATATTACGAACCATCTTTTGCAAATGTATGACCATGATCTTAACAACATGACAAAATCAAACACTGTTATTCATATGACTAAATGTTTATTCAAATAATCTGACGGAAAGTTAACAAATATCACAAATGTTTTAATTGCTGTATTAAAAAAATGAAGTGTCTAATTTAGAAAAAGTACAGAAGCATAACATTCTACCAAGACATATCAAAATATTCCATAGTAAAGTACAAGCTTTAGCATTGTACAAAGTAAAGAACTTAACCAAGAAATATTTAAGACAATAAATCTGAGGCTAATAAATAATAATGTTTTAATCAGTACTTAGACTGTCCAGTGGCCAGTATATTTATTTGAAGCTCAATGAAACCCCATCTTTCGGAATTCAGGAATCTGCGCCGTTTTCAATAACTTCGTATCAGATGAGATATGTCTTCCAATAAAACTTCTGCAGAAGAATGATTGCTTTAGCCATTAAATGGATTGGTTTAAAGTTAAAAATAAATTCTTAATATTTGAAATTCTTGGTAAAATATCCTGGTCCTGCACTTCACTTAAGCCTCGGTCACATTTGATCTACGGCAGTCGCATGGGTACGGTGGTCGTAACTTCAACTTCGACATAAAGAATTTACATCGTATTGCTAATCTCTATATTTTATGCTATATATTTATCTCGATTTTGAGAAGCTACGGCATCGTATGGTTGCCGTAGATCAAATGTGAACGAGGCATCAATAAGACGATCCCGACCCAAGACATAACATGGTCGATAGAGTCTTTTAACTGAAAATACTAACCCACATCGATCGGTAGATTATCTATGAATTAGTCAATCATTTTTTAATCATCCCTCGTATTGCTAATGATGAGTCCTGTAATTTTAATTAGCAACAAATGGGGAACCATCCCCTTGTGGCAAACTTAATAGTAAGCTAGAATAAGATAAATATACTACAATACATAGACTTATTAAAATCAACTAAAAGGCAATAACAATTAAAACAACAGACTGTTCGTCCCACTCAGCGACAATTACAACGCTTGTCCGTTCAATGTCCATATTTGGCATCGCATTAATTAGATTGTTGGTGGTTGGTGTACGTTATACCCAATGTTATTGTTATGTTGGGGTATTGGGATATTTGGATGATGGAAAGAATGGGGCAATTTAATTCTTTTATTTCCAGTACCGCAGTGAAAGTTCTGTTGACTAGCAAGGCTGTTAGCCAATTTCTTGTTGAAGTTGCCATTTGCAAACAATTCTTCACACGCAGGATGTATTGCCCAAAAGTTTCCACGACCGTCACGGCCTTTTTTGATGAAGAACTCATTAAGAGACAGATTGTGCCGAACACTGTTCCTCCATGCGCGGACCTCGTTATCATAGTAACTAAAGTTGTCTCTGATATATTGATAGATTTCACACAGGACCATTTTCCTGTCTGGTTTACTAAGAATGGCCATGGTAATCATTTCTATATAAGAAACATCCGGTTTTTCGTCATCTGGTTGCTTCCTCTTCCTAGATGGTCTTATCTTAGACGTTTGTCTATTAGTGTGTTCGTCCTTTTCAACTGTTAAACTTGGTACTTTAGGAGCAACTGTTTGTGGTCGTTTTGCGTCACGGGGTGCATCGTTGATGATCCATGGACGTACCGGTTGGAACTGAGTAGAGTTTTGGCACGAGGAAGTACTTGAATTGAAGCTGATGTTACTCCGAGTAGAATTGAGCGTGCTAGAGGTATTGTCTAATGATGAATAAGTTGAGTCAACAGGTCCATATGTGCTATTGAGACTATTTGTTGTCTCATTAAGGCTTTGGTTCGGAACAACGCAGTCTGAGCGATCGTGTGGAATCGGACTGGTGCTTAGGGTTCTATCGTCATATAGGGATACAACTCCTCCTAGGTAGCTATCACATATATTACCAGTAGGTGAGGTAGGTGGAGACAGGCAGCTCATCAGATGTGGGTAATACTTTGGCCTGTAAGGGTTAAAACCAGGGGTTGCGTATGGGTTACATACGAGACCAGGTGCGCCAGCTTGAATTTTTTCTTGTTTTGGTACCCTCTGAAGGCTTGCATAAGTTGGTCGGATGCTACTTGGTATTGGGATTTGAGAGGGACTTGGCAGTTGCAAAGGCACCGGATGATATTCTTTGTAGCAGTCAAAATCTGGTGGCGAATGCGCTGGAATAGATGGCATCACTGGAACAAAAGAATAGCCCGGATATCCATGGTAAGTCAGTTGAGGTTGGATGGGTTGCTGAAGATCGTTTTGAAAGCCAAATTTCTGTACATTTATCTTATCAATATCCTCACAGATTGGCGTCAACGGAACCTTAATATCACCAGGTTCACTTAGAGTACCAAACGAAAATAATGTGTTCATGAGACTTGTGTTTTCCAATATGCTGTCCTCCTCATTGTTACTCATGTTTGCCTGGCTCATGTTACAAAGTTCATTTGTTGGTACGGTAGATGCTGGAAGGTTGCGATCTTGTTTGCTAGCAGCCATTACTTTTGTCAATCAATGTCAGAATCTGAAAAATAGTATATCATGGTTTAATAATTGTAAGGAAAGAATATATAAGAGATACGTTCCGCCATTTGGGTAAGTTACACTCGAAGACATAGTTTAACAAGGCATTAGCATGCAAAATATCACTACCTGCCATTTGTTCCAGACGCCAACCGCTGAATACAGTCCACAAAAAGTTGGAAACTATAACAATGTGTCACTTGTCCAATGCCAGGACTAAATAGTCCAGAAAGTGGACAATATTGGACAATACCACTTCTGGCGGTGACATAAAAAGGATAAAATATCCATTTTGCGCTCTTCCACCATGTATCTTGAGATTCTCATTCCGACGACTTTAATTTCAATGCATTTAAAGATGGCAGCACTTGTATTACACCATATCAAAAACGGATTTCCCTGGTATTTCTTATTTTGTATTTTTGTATTTACAATATTTCTCTGTGCATGCATTAAATCGTAGTTTGTGATATTGGAGATTTGTTATTATGATGACTGGTTATTCTACTGTTTCATATTATGTTTTCATCCTATATTTTTCTCTTACTTCTTTTGGTAGTTTTACTAAACAGATGAATTGGGTATATATGATATTGTTTACTCATATCGATTAGTCCGCCCGGGAGTGTCCGATGTGTTTTCTAAAACAGTATAGAGAAAAGTAAGTTCAAAGTATTAGTTCATCCAAAAGATGACCATCGTGGTAAGCCACACCATCTGCGATGCAACAGAGAGAGATGCTATGAGTATCAGAATGAAAGATGACCATTAAATTGACGATGTGTAAAATTTTCAGAATGTGTTGATGACTGGTTAAGAGAAACGCGTCTTCAAAATGTTCACCATATCGATACCACTCCTTTGGCAGGAATTGTTGTAATCCCATCGGGAATCCCATGCATATGTCCAAGGTGTTCGTGAATAAATAAATTTGCTAATCCATATTGATTTATTACCCTTGCAAGATATGTATAATCCCAAGTGGTCCATCAACAAGGTGAAAGCTACAAACAAGACCAAACTTACGAGACAGAAAAAAAGGAATTTGGCAGGAATTGTTGTGATCCCATGCATATGTCCAAGGTGTTCGTGAATCTATCAAAAGGATAGTGGCAAAAGGAACATTAAGAAAGTTGGGGGGCTAGTGTGATATGTTGATCCTTCCCCGGGGATCCTTCACACGCACCAATTTGCGGACCAAGGCTTTTAAATCATATGTATTCTGGTGATGTAATGTAAGTTTCACACTCGTTTCAAAAATGAACTGTGGGCCTGTTTTACAATAAATCCCGCTATATAATAAGTATATATAATGTTGGATACCTTCTAATATTATTCATAATTACAATTACCTACCTTCTGTTGATATGACCAAAATGATGACTTCTCATAAAACGTTGAACACCTATTAGGCAATGTTTTCTTTACGTGAAAATAAAAAGGTTTGTGATAAGTGATTGTTGGTTTCCAAACACCATGTCACAGATTGAGCCAATCAGAGATCGTCCATACGATTGGTCTACGCAATGCTGTAATCCTTGAACTGAGTTCTAAATGAAATGAACCGTCAATGGTGTACTCATTTGAAGATCATGGGGGAGACCTGTTTCACAAACAAGGCGAATGGTTTGAATATTGCCTTCCCCGTCACACCAGACGAGTTCGAACTACGTTGTTGAAACGCGTTGTCGAGCCGGTGTAAAAGGGTGGGAGGTCCTATCAAATTATGGTCCTACTCTCCATTGATTTATATGGTAGCCTCAATACAACTCTTTCCCTCATTATCTTATATGCAATCAGGGCCAGTTAGGGCCGTTGAGAAAGGGGGCCATAATCCCTGGGGGACCATCATTTCTTTCACACCGGTCCGGTTCAACTGTTATTAGGGGGTTTAAGCTTGCAATGTTTTTCACAACCTAAACGTGAACGGAAAATATTTAAGCGATGCATTTGTAAGAGCGATTGGTCATACGTATAGGTTGACATTTCGATCTAATAATATGCAAGCTTAAACTCCCTATTTTCTAATTTAAGAATCAGATCTAGCGAGCAGGCCAACAAAAATTGTTTATTTCTGATTCATGTCATTCCTTGTCATGCCTATTTTCTAAAAATCCCAAGTGCACAAATTTTTTCAGGAAAACTTTTTTAAAACCAGTCATCAATTAATAACATATTGTGCATCTTTTGCTCATTTTCACCATAACTTGTCTCTGGTACTTTCAATTCATACATTTTATATTCCTACATCGATGTAAGATGCAAATGACATACAATTATGATCTCGTACGTGTCAATATTGCGTGATGGATTTCATAAAAAATCACACGTTGACTAAGCCTGTATTTCATACCTGCTGAGACTCTTGTATTATTTCCGGAGCATTAGGAAGGGCGTTTCAATAACCCTTACTTTCAGCAATTTTCAGAACATTCGTCCAGTGTAATTAATGTGTGGGATGTTTAATTCATTAACAATAATATTTTGCGGCTGTATAATGAATTCCTTGAAAGTAATGCTAGGAAAATGTTTGCCCACCCGAGCTAGGGCCTGCTACTACTCTCACTAAAATATCGCCTAGACTCGAAATGTCATAACGGAAATGTTCTATCTCGCAAACCCCGGAAATTATGGTAAAGGTGTCTTTAAACATCATTTATGCAGTTATGGCAGTGTCTCAAAATTCTTTTATGGAAGTGGGTGCCGACATCTGTTATTTTACTGTAAAAAAATCGAAGAGTGAAAATATATCACCAAGGAAGGATTCATATCATGTCAAAAAGTCATGTTTCAATACAAAACCAATCACTCAGGTCATCAATTTCACCCTGTGGAGTCCAGTAATCACCATGACAACCGTTTAACGTGTGTACTTTTTTGCAAGGGGTTGGCAAGTCATCAATTTCTCTCTGTAGAGTCCAGTCATCACCATGACAATCGTTTAACTAGTGACCTTGAGTTCGTTATTCGTTATATAGCGGAATGCAGTTACGAAATGGCATGTTCTCATTAGCTGGAATTTGACACACCTTGCCAGCTAGCTATGTGTGGATTGGCTAAATAATGGCACCATATTACACCCCCAAAGGCGTGCTACTGCTAAATGCAACAATAACCCACGTCTTTTTACCCAGACCATAGTCAAGAGAGACTTGCTCATGTTTTCAGCGGGGCCTCCTCATGGAAACTTTGGTTTATTGCTCGTAGCGGGGCCTTGAGAGATATGATAAAATTGACATAATCAATGTTCTATGAAACTTTAGGCAGGGAAAATCAGGAAAACTTATATTTCATGTCAAAATGGTTATTCCAATCGCAGCAATGACGTTCTTCACCTATAACATATGAAAATAAATACACAAAGGTTCAAGATGATACTTTCTCTTTCCAATTCTCAAATAACGACACCCAGAATGACAGTTCGTGTTACTTATTTCCAGAGGTTGCTCTTTTAGTTTGAATAAGAACATGGGCTCTACCACTACCATAGAGCCCATGATAAGAACAGTGCAATTTGAGAATAAAAAGATTTGTACAGCATTACAATTTGATAGAAATAGTAATTGATCTGACCCGGGTCCTTATCAGCATCGATACCTTCCCAAGAATAATTTAAATATTATTCAAAATAAAACAAACCCGATACGCATGACTTGATGGTGTTTTAATCAGTATAAAGGCTACCCCGGGAATAAAGCAGCAGAGCAGTAATAAGACACCCACTGAACGAACTGCTACCAAAATGTTCGGGGAAACCCTACTACGTGACGTCAGGGGGAAATCCATAACCTTTGACCACAAGGTTCGACGCCATTTAGTCGTCAGCACGCGAAGGTACAAGGAGTAAAACATTTTGCTAGTTTTGTGTTTACCTCGTTAGCCATAGCCAAAGCATAATTACGTCGAACGTACGAGAAAATAAACATGGCATCTGACGATGAAGCCGGGTGAGTGTGATATTTCTTTCATGATATAGCGTACTTCATGAATGAAGTTTGAATTGTTTTTGCTGACGATAAAATTTTTCAGTCCAATTTTTTGGTGTGTGAATTTTGTTTTCCCAAAAATAACCAATTACAAAATGATCATATATAAATGCACATAGACCTTTATTAGACTTGAAAGCAATCTTTTCGATATTTTGAATTGTTTGAGCATTGTCGTATTGAATTACATGGTATCAAATGTGATCAAGACTCAGTGACTCCCTCTTGAAATGAAACGCCATGCTTCAACTAGATCTAACACTGTTCCACAGCTGGATGACTCTATAACTAACTGCAGTTAGCATCATTCAAGTTGGTTGCCAAAATTCTCTCTTTTTCGATAAACCTCCGATTTCAGCTAAACTAAGTTGAATCTTGATTCCAAAAGTTTCGCCATGCAAATTGTAGTCTAATAAAACTATGAATTGTATTCAACCACAAATGAATGCCCAAACACCCTCAATATATTAGAGAATTTTAAAGAAAACAGCTTCACTTTGAATGACTCTAGCTGAATGATGATCTACGTCATCATTACGTCATCATCAACTTCAGTCTAGTCATTCTAACTGAAGCCATTTTCTTTAAAATTCTCCAATACTGCGGTTGTTTGTGATTATTTACCATCATAACTTTATTAATTTGCATGGCGAAACATTTGAAATCCAGATTCAACTTAGTTTAGCTGAAATTTGAGGTTTATCGAAAACGAAAGAATTTCGGCAACCATCATGACTGCAGTTATGTCATCCAGCTGTGGAACAGTGAACTAAGAATAAATGAGTCTGCTGTGCCATCTTCACTTTTCTTGCTCCGATTGTGTATACTTAAAAATTCTTTCAAAATCATGCAGTTTTTCACCATTCTAAGCACTTTTTAAGTGATTTGGCCATTTTTAGGCCAATTGGCAAATTCTGGCTATTTCCCTGCTAAATGCATGATTGCCGTTTGTAAACATAACTAGACTTTGGAAATTGAACGAAGTTCAATTTCAGACTCCAGATCTAGACTTTTTTAAGCCCAGTCATCTAAAATAAGCCGAGTCATCCAGAATAAGCTATGTCATCCAGAATAAGATGGATGGATAAAATAGGAAGGTAGGATAGGATAGAATGGGAAGGAACGATAGGATAGAATAAGAAAGAAGGATAGGATAGAACAGAATATGAAGAAAGGATATGATAGGAGAGGATAGGAAGGATAGGAAGGAAAGGATATGAAGGAAGGATATGAAGGAAGGATAGATAGGAAGGATAGGATCAGATAGGAAGGATGGATGGATGAATTTTTCAATCTTTTCTTCTCTACTCTTGACTTTCTATCAGGATACCATCAGATTAATTTTCCGAAACTTCAAAACACCATAACTTCGGAACCGGAAGTCGGATCGAAATTTTATTTAAAGATTCGGATTCCTGACAAAATTCTACCCCTAATTCATAACTCATACGTTAAATTTGGAAACTTTTTATTTTGACCTACTTTTCGGACACGCCATTACTTCCGAACTGGAAGTCGGATCGAAATTTGATTTGCAGATTCGGATTCCTGACTAAATTTTACCCCTAATTCATAACTCATACGTTAAATTTGGAGAATTTTTTATTTTGACCTACTTTTCGGACACCATATCTCAAAAGTGGGTCAAAATACTTTCTGACGGCAAAAGGCTAACACTATTAGCACACTCTTGGCTACATGTATACACAATTTCGAAGAATATAATTGAAGTGTAGTGTCAGTATCGGAAAAATAAGGAAAACCTTTGAATTTGACCTAGAATTTGACCTAGATTTTGACCTAGGAATTTTGGTGTCCAAATTCTGAAGCTAGATGGCTTTTGAAGTCCTCTCCTTTTGAAGCCTTTCATTAAATTAAGCTGAACTCAGTCTATATTTCGTATTTTTCACTTCAAAAAAATCTTTTTTCCCATTGAATTAACATGGGCACAAAATTTAGCGATTTTTGAGTTTTCAAAACGCAATAACTTCCGAACCAGAAGTCGGATCGAAATTTGGTTTGCAGATTCAAATTTCTGACAAAATTCTACTCCTAATTCATAACTCATCCATTGAATTTAGAGCACGTTTTGGTGTGACCTACTTTCTGGACGCCATATCTCAAAATCGGTTTGAGATATCAAAAAACTAAATCGACCCTAGCTTTCCTACTTTTTTATGAGGAACACGATGAAAAAAACCTGGATCGAAAATATTGAAGGACGACTGAGAAAATTGAAAAAAGTGACAAAGTACTGGATTTGACCTAGTTCTTGACCTTTGACCTAGATAAAAAATTGACCCAATTTCCGAGAAACTAGATACTGGACCTAAATTGACCATATACAGGACTTGAATCAATGTCTTCTAGTTACGGAGAAAACGTGGGTAGAAGAATAAAAAGAAAAAGAATAATAAGAATAAAGAAGAATACTGGCAAAAACAATAGACTCCAGATTGACATCTGGAGTCTAATAATTTAAATTCTGTAGAAGTTGAAACATACATGACAATAACTCAAACTTGAGGCAGATTGACGCAATATTGCCAAATCTTTTATAAAATATTGCCAAATCTTTTATCAGTATCGAATATAAGGAAGGACAACTTAGACTACATAGTATTACCAGTCTCCTGTTTTTCATTGAATCATTTTAAATGATCTTTTCCTGTATTAGCAATTTTTCACCATAACTTACTGGCTGGCTAAATTGACCATTTTCTATATAAAAAATAGAAAAATAGATGGTATCGTAGGTGTTGGTAGGGCAAGAATGCATGGAAATGTATTGCAAGAATCATTAACGAGTAATTCCATTGCATCAACTTAAAACATGATTTAAAGTAATTATATGAACCTAAATTAAAATTGTGATCCTTATAAGAGTTAAGGAACTTTAAAGGTTTTTCAACATTGTGTCAATGGGGATTCAGCCCGACCTTCTTCAGAAAACTTGAAAATCCTCAGAATTGAACTAAAGGTAAATAACTGGGCAAATTAAAGCTTTTTGATAGAAAATTACACATAAAATTCTTTAAATGCCATCAAATAGAAGAAAATGTTAGTCTTTATGTCTTAAATGGGAAAATTCTCCTAAACTCTCAAAAAACGAGACTTTAACAAGATTTCAAACCAAAATTCAACACAATGACACATTAAGCACAATGCAATAATAATATGGTGACTTAGTATTCATGTAAATACATGTATGGATAGCACATTTCGGCAACCCATCTAGGTGTTGGCCATTTGAGAATTGATTGCTGGCAATTTGCAATGTGGTATGCCTAATATTGTTCAATCATTGTCCAGTTACTCATCAGTTATGGTTGAACCTCTTTTCATGAAAAACAAAAAAACTAGTTTTAAATGAGGCCAAAATTAATATAAGCATTTTTACTGTTGATAGATGGTTGAAAGTCATAACGAAGCCATATGTTATATGGCAAAGAGTTAACAGTTAATCTAACATGGTAAACATGATAAATAGATAAGCAAATCTAATGATACGATAATTATCAGCCTAACATATTGATAGTAATTTAATAAAATGGTAATTTTACTAATTTCTATAATTGCATATAATTTTCACAACTTTACAAGTATGATTTTTTTATTCCTTGTGAGTTAAACAGAATAATTGGCTAATTTGGCTTTATAAATCCCGAAATTATGTGATATCTTGTTAAAGTAAATTTATATATTTGTGTGGTACATTAGGTAGCATATCACTAGAACACTAACAAGTATAGTATGCTGGCAAAATGTCAATATACCTAATTAGCAAAGGTCTAGGAGTGAATGTATGGTTTCATCTGTCACCAGGACTAATATATTTTTACACATCATTTCACCAGACTAATTTGTATCTATCTCAGATGAGAAAAATAGTAGTTACTCAATGTAAAATAAAGTTAGCATTGATTGTTGCGTTCTAAGGTTTCAGCCTATATCTTATTCTACAAGGATTATCTGCACTTCAGGGCCACTTTTACAAAATCAGGCCTGTGTTTCTCATGATATAATTTACATTGTAGCGGTTTGGTTCTTTAAAAAAGGTTCATCCAATGCTTTAATCATTAGAGTAAGCCAAGATGTTGTCTTTCCCAGATTTCACATGGTTTTCCTTTCAATGAATATACTCAACAGTAGGTTAAACTGTTTCAAAAGAAAGCATACCCCAGATTTCAACAAAGCCAAATAATCTAAAATAGATGCAGCTTCTAATCGCCTAAAATTCCTTTGACCATGTTAAAGACCGTTTGAATGATGGATGCATCATGGTGTATTTATTGATCAGTGGTTCACTGCAAGAAGAGTTGTCTTGCAAAGCTTGTAATTATACTGCAAAATAAATTGTTCCTCTAATTTCCAACCTAGGATGTAATCACTTCTTTCTGCTTCTTAATAAATGTCTGCATATACAAATGTCATTTCCTTTTTGTTATTTTACCAATTTAAAACAGTCTAAACTATCTGAAAATATCTAGAATTTCACAATGGGTGAGGTCTATTTGAAGAGCATGATTTTCTGTATGTTTCTCAACAGATGGATAACATAATTTAGCAATTATAAGAAGTATGACATTTTGTAATTTACTTGTTGGGAATCGTAATTCTATTCTGATCATGTCAGAACTCGAGTTAGGTATCGCCTAATTTGCATTTATAGTCCTTCTTACATAAATATCTCTTGCTCTGTGCTCATCTTTTTTCTTTCGACATTTTTAACATTAGAAAGGCTTTGTTAGATTTTACGATCAGAATAATGCCATCATCGTTATAAAATATACTTGAAGCAAAATTTTATAAACTTCAACCATAAACCAGTCAACCAGTCTATGCTTCTATATTTCGAGAATCATTTTTTTTGTCAAAATAAAGAATCCCCAGCCCATTTGAGACCAAAGAACGGTGCTGTTCTTCCAGTTAAAATTATGGTTTAGACCTGCGCCAGTAGGCGCAATTATAAATCAGCCTTATAGATCGATGGATGCATCTATCCATTTCTGTAATAAACCATTGTATGGTGGTTGCATGTGCCAACTTCAAACAAGAAGTTAATCCGTCAAAGTAAACTGTGTTGTTAAATGATGCTGAAAAATGATATGTTGTTTGAAGGGATTTGGTGAACTACTCAATTATGTTCTTCATTTGCAGATAGTAACTCATCCCTGCATTATGGCAAAAGTATATACAATCATCATATTTTGGATGTCTAAAAATTGTAAATTACATAATATCCTCAGCTCTGTATGAAAATAGTGAATTTTTCTTCAAATATGTTGGAGTCATGTCAATGAGTATTTTTGTTATCATAATTATCTCCAAGTATGATAGGCAGATATCCTTATACTCAGACTATGTCAATATGAAATCTAGTTTGAGAGTCTTTATTATTGATGGGACATCCCAATTACAAGTAAAAAAAACATTTATTTCATGAAGATAAATGTGGATTAATGAGAAGTCAATGTCTGCTCAAAGTAAAATGATATCAAGAAAGGCATCAGTAAGAACCATATATTACATGTATTCCTAAAATGACTCCGAGAATCTTAGGGTTATCTCATGGGAATGGTGCTCTTTGCTCTAGGTAGCTCATCTGGGTAATTTTTATGAGATTTAGATGATTTCAGTCAATAGAAAGCTTTGATTTAGAGGAAATTAATTAAATCCAATTCTCTAAATAATATTTTTCGTAATGCTTTAATAAGTAGTGCCTGCCAGGCACTTCGTTATATTTTTGATTTTGTGTTTTTCAGAAAACTGTTTGTTGGAGGTCTGAGCTGGGATACAACACAAGGTTTGTGAACATTTATCACAAATTCATTTACAAGTTAAAGATTCTTCATATCTTTGGTTTCAACCTGTCTTCATCATGATATACCATGACATCTCATTTCTTCTCAGCCCTGAGATGTTTCAGGTGAAACAGAAAGATGCTATGAGTATCAGAATGCCTGTCTTAGCCTTTAATTCTTCCAAATACTGAATATGAAGAATATGTCATACTTAAATATTTTGCATATTACCATAATATTAAATTGCGTGGATATTGTCTTAACTTTCAGAGAGTTTGTTGAAGTTCTTTAGCAAATGGGGAGAAGTGTGCGACTGTGTTGTCATGAAGAATCAGACAACTGGCAAATCACGTGGATTTGGATTCGTCACATACAAGGATCCTGATTGTGTCAAGAAAGTCTTCCAAACTGGCACCCATGTCCTAGATGGGAGAACTGTAAGTCATTTTAAGTTATTATCTCAACACACATCCGAGTTTTCTGCATGAGAAAAATGCAAATTCTGTACAGAAATTCTGCATGAAAAAGTCGGATACATTCCAATGGAATGAAATGCATGTATAGTTGCTGAGGACCACAGTGTGCCAAGAATGTCTAAACAAAAAGTGTCAAGTTTCAAAATTGTTCAAACAAAGGATTGCATTGATGTAGGATTGAATTGGAAAGAAAATGCCCATGTCCCATCCTTAGTATCGATCATTTGATTTTTTTATCATTCCCCCAGCTTTGAATAGAGCCTTGTTAATTGGTACTGCCTGAAACCTCAAGTCAAGATCTCAAAAATATTGAAATGGTGGAAAATCACATAGTGGGAAATACATACATGTACATGTAGGTTTATTTGCATCATATTTTCATTGCCAGGAGAAAATTAGTAATTTAAAGACAAAATATTGGGTGAATCCAAATATATTAAACTTGCATATAGATTGTTGTGCTAAAATATTTGGAAAATTGAAAGTCCAATCATGATCTTAATTTTGCCAAAAGGATCGAGAATTTACTACTGATAGCTATATTTTAGCTTCAGAGCATTCTTGGGCAAGCCATTGACAAGATGATAATGTACAAGGTGTTGAAATACCAGGATGTAACCAGGGGCATAGCCAGCTTTCAGTCAGGGGGGAAGCGATTGTGGCATAAGCTAGCCAAGAAAAAGAATTGTTTTGAATTTTACAAAAAATTATGCAGCTTCCTTCAAAATTGAGCTAGAAGCTTCAAATAAGTTTTTGTCTCAACCTTTTTTGAAAAATGAAAAATGAAACAGCATTTGCAAATGCCATGTTATTGGTTAATAACTTCAATTTATCAGGTTTTAAAATTAACCCATGGGACCTTACTTGGAGGAAAGCATTTTTTGGAAGAGAAAGGCTGATTAGTTTAAGAAACCAGAAAAAATTACAACCATCATAAAATAGAAAGGATATGAAATGTATTGATTTGAAATAATAAAAATGAAGATAAGCCATGCAGAGTTAAAAAAGGTGTGAAATTGACCTCATTCAACCTTAGTCAAGAGAAATACATAAATTACTCTACTTGAAGGCAAACATGCTTATAATATTGATTTTTATTTTATTCTTAACAATAATTTATTGTCTTAGTTATGATATGTAAAAAATGACACAGATTGCAAAATTACTAAAAATTAGTCGCAATAATATATTGGCTAACTTATGATATGTTAGGAATGACACAGATTGCAAAATTACATCACGTCTGGACCTTCTGTGCCTATTATTACCACCAGTGGTGGATCCAAGCGAGGCTGAAAACTCTTTGTAAAGACAGCTTCATGGCCATATAAACATGATGATGACAGGGAATACTAAAACCAAGTTCTCCAAATGCCTGATTACTTTCCCATTCCAAATACAATCATAAATCACTCATATCTTCCCTCTTACTCAAGGGTTCAGGATTAGATAGAGTAGCATGGCGACATTGAAGGACATCAATAGAATATGTTTAATGTCTAAATATCTCACTTGAAACAGAAATACAGAAAAGATAATGAAAATGAAATATATTCTCACAACTTCACTACTTACTTGCCAATCCAGTTAAAAAAACATTTACACAATGCTTTTAGAAACAGTTTGAGTGTCTTGAAATGTCACTGTATAAATTCAGCAAATTGTTTTGTAATAATGGGTATAAACAGGATAGTTTACTTGAAATCTTCTGATTTAGATTGATCCAAAGGTGTGTAATCCCCGACATCTGAACCAAGCTGCTGCAAACAAAAACAGGAAGGTCTTCATTGGAGGGATACCCCCCAATATAGAGGAAGATGATCTCAAGGAATTCTTCAGTCGCTATGGCAATGTAAGTCATTCTTTCAGTCACTATGGCAATGTAAATCATTCTGTCAGTCGCTATGGCAATGTAAATCATTCTTTCAGTCGCTATGGCAATGTAAATCATTCTTTCAGTCTCTATGGCAATGTTAATCATTCTTTCAGTCTCTATGGCAATGTAAATCATTCTTTCAGTCACTATGGCAATGTAAATCATTCTTTCAGTCTCTATGGCAATGTAAATCATTCTTTCAGTCTCTATGGCAATGTAAATCATTCTTTCAGTCACTATGGCAATGAAAATCATTCTTTCAGTCGCTATGGCAATGTAAATCATTCTTTCAGTCTCTATGGCAATGTTAATCATTCTTTCAGTCACTATGGCAATGTAAGTCATTATACAGTGTACCTAAATTATGGTACTAGCTACGCTTATAAACTGAAAAATTAGAACTAATGATTCATACAAAATGATTATTTGTTAGAAAAGTAATCGAGTATAATGCTCAACATTGGAATACATGTTGCTCAACATAAAATTGGACAGGCATAGACTACATGACAACATGTAGTTGTAGTCAAATGACAAATTGATAGTTGATCATTTACATTTGCAAAATAAATAAAATGTTGTTTCTTGATGAATTTCAGGTTGCAGATGTGTCCATAATGTTCGACCAGGAGAAGAAACGATCAAGAGGTAAAGTTTTTGTCCATCAAATCAAACTATTAAACATCATGCTATTCCAGGAATGATCTCAAAGGGGACTTCAACATATAAAATGTTGACATAATTAAGCAAGGTTTTGATTTATGAATTAATAGGTATTCCAGGTTGAAGTAATCACACAGGATTAAATTAATTCATTAGCTAGTTATATTATTTATACAATTCTGTAAGAGTCATTTTTTCACCATTTTCTAGTTGTTTATTTTATTGCAATTAGGCCAAAGTGCCACAATATTTTACAAAAATAGCCAGCCTTATCTGGGTTAAGAGATACATGATGATTAATTAATGATTAATAAATATTATAGATAAATCAAATAAGATTAAATATTATAAATGCAGTTCATAGGCTTATGGGCCATGTAAACCAGCACAGAATATGCAAATTAGATAGATACATATATGTATACATACATATATCTATGTATGCCAGCACAGAATATGCAAATTAGATAGATACATACATTATTATATGTATTTATATATATGTATGATATATATACAAGCATGGAATATGTTAATTAGATAGACTAGATACATATATAGAACTACAGTAGATACATAACAATTAATTTAATAGTTGGCAGAGAATATGTTAATTAAATAACAATAATTCATGATATCTATATAATTATGCTTTAATTTATGAGATATGTGTGTATTGTATACATGTTATATATGTATGTATTTGTATATATCTTCTAAGCTTGTCCCCAGTCCCCAGTTCCCAGTTTGAGATATCTATATTGTTATATATAATATGTATGTATTTGTATGTATCTTTTAAGAAGGTCCCCAGTCCCCAGTTCCCAGTTTTGAGATATCTATATGCTATATATAATATGTATGTATGTATTTGTATGTATCTTCTACGCTGGTCCCCAGTCCCCAGTTCCCAGTTTGAGATATTGCTATATATAATATGTATGTTTTTGTATGTATCTTTTAAGAAGGTCCCCAGTCCCCAATTCCCAGTTTGAGATATCTATATTGTTATATATAATATGTATGTATTTGTATGTATCTTCTAAGCTGGTCCCCAGTTCCCAGTTTGAGATATCTATATGCTATATATAATATGTATGTATTTGTATGTATCTTTTAAGAAGGTCCCCAGTCCCCAGTTCCCAGTTTGAGATATCTATGTTTGTGTATATATGTATTTGTATGTATCTTCTAAGCTGGTCCCCAGTCCCCAGTTCCCATTTCGAGATCTCTATGTTAAAGTATGTAAACTATTTTAAAGTAAATTTTAATCATTCAAGATTCATATTGATCCATTCTCTTTTATGAGTTGATAGCACTATACACTGAGGATGACTCCTATATAAAACCTCATTTAGATGTGATTTCTTCAAATTTAAGACAGAGAATAGATTATGGCACCTTTTTCTACAACATGTGATAATATGAGTCTATTCATGCAAGTATTAAGGAAAATATAGCCTGTTGCAGGGGTTCACTTTTTTGGACCACCCTGTATATTAACTTCTCTTATTGCATGTTTAATGGTATAGACTGGACTGGTGTAGGTGGAAGAGTCATCTAATAGTTATTAAGTTATCATCTTTACATAACACTTTAAAATCCAAGAACAGTCAGATTTTATTTAGGCAGAACTTCAATGTCTATCTGATATATAACAAAATATGTGAAAATTAGAAAGATTGACCTTTTTGTTATCCTAGTCACAAGTTTAACCTTTCCATATAGACTGAAGAGTTGACATCCTGGATATTTAGGAGAACCTGCAAAGGATTGGTATTGATATGGTGAACTTTTTGAACACACTTTTCTCTTAAATCTGTCATCAAACATTTCTAAAAATTACATATCGTCAATTTAATGGTCATCTTTTGAATGGTAACAATATAATTTGAAAAATGTATATACTTTTCTCTATATTGTTTTAGAAAACACATCAGACACTTCTTTTGCTTCTGGTATCATATGCTCAGAATGAAATGAAACATCTTTCCGAACCTGTTTTGAACAAAATGACATATACACAACATGTTTAAGTCTCTCAATATTGTAATTGTACAAAGGAAATTTTGGTTGATTTTAAAAAAGTATCTTGTTAATGAAATAAAAGGTTTATCTTGATTTTTATCTATTTTTGTTTTTTTTAACTTTTTTCTAATTTTGCTTCAATATATTGAAAAGGTAGAGAATTCATAATACATTGCAATACATTAGACTGAAAGCTTCTGAAATTGACTCTCTATTTAAATTCAGTATCAAGATAAGACATAAAATGATCCATCTTAAGTAGACACATATGTTTGGATAACTAACAGCTTATCAACTTTATAGTGCTTCATATAACTGCATAATTCTTTACCAATCTGGAGACAGATTATTTAAGTTATGTAAGTTATGGGTTTGTCTCATTACTGTAGTCTTGACTGGATTAACTGTTTTCCTCTAGAAGATAGGTTTCAGGCTGATTCAATGTATAATTCAAAGACAATTTTAAAGAGTTCTTTAAAGTTACAGTTCTGTCAAGTCTGGAATAAAATTTCTATAATGAAATATGAAGTTTGAAATATCTACATTGGAATCACTTATATTTTTAGACATACTATGACCATTGCCGCTTACCATTTTTTTTTTTTTTTATTTATTTATTAATTATCCTCATTCATTACATAACATTTACAAAATCTTCAATCGCCAAATACATGCATGGCTTACCATTTTTGACCTATATACCTATCATAGGCGTAGCCAGGAGGGGCGGGGCGATGACCAATAAAAATAAGAGCTTTAAAATGTATTTTGTTTGAAGCTTCTAGCTAATAGCAAAAATTTGGCAATCGCGACCCCCCCCCCCCTGGTCTGCTGATTGCGCTAATGTCTTTTATTTCCACATATAGGGTAACTCAGTGAACTTAAATATACAAGTTTAATGTTAAACGTTGCTCTAAAGTTTGTGTAACTGATATCTACCTGGTGTGCTCATGTGGCCAGTATTAGATCAGATAGAGAAAAAATATAACACCTTCATTATGAACTAGCAGCTCAAACCCAAACAGAAGAATAAAAATCTGTACAAATTGATTGATGCTGTATGTCAAAAAATAGGTTTTAAAATGCTCATAAATATTAGATAACTTAAACATGCAATATACTGGAGTAATACTACTCAGATAACATTTCGGTTATTTTACCTTGATATTTGAAGACAATTGTTAATTACATAAATATATATCTGTCAATGTTTAATACACGTACATATTAGATTTACAATTGTACTTTTTTGTTACGATGCTATATTCATTTCATATTCTGTCAATGTTTAATACAAATACCTACATATAGATATCTCAAACTGGGAACTGGGGACTGGGGACCAGCTTAGAAGATACATACATACATATAACATAGATATCTCAAAATGGGAACTGGGGACTGGGGACCAACTTATAAGATACATACAAATACATATATACACAAACATAGATATCTCAAACTGGGAACTGGGGACTGGGGACCTTCTTAAAAAGATACATACAAATACATACATATTATATATAGCATATAAATATCTCAAACTGGGAACTGGGGACTGGGGACCTTCTTAAAATATACATACAAATACATACATATTATATATAGCATATAGATATCTCAAACTGGGAACTGGGGACTGGGGACCAGCTAAGAAGATATATACAAATACATACATATATAACATGTATACAATACACATATATCTCATAAATTAAAGCATATTCATAGATATCTCAATGTAAGATATTCATGAATTATTGTTATTTAATTAACATATGCTATGCCAACTAATAAATTAATTGTTCTGTATCTAGTTCTATATATGTATCTAGTCTATCTAATTAACATATTCCATGCTTGTATATATATCATACATATATATGAATACATATAATAATGTATGTATCTATCTAATTTGCATATTCTGTGCTGGCATATAATATATATATATGCATGAATACATAGATATATGTATGTATACATATATGTATCTATCTAATTTGCATATTCTATGCTGGTTTACATGGCCCATAAGCCAGTTCATATCTAGCTGGTAGATTTTGAATGAACTTTGTGCTTTGAAATAATCAGCCGCAAAAATGAAAGTCTCAGTTTCATCAGCCTTATTTTCAAGTATAAAATGTTTGGCGCTTTCTGAATTGCAAATGGATAGGTTTCAAGCAAGCATTCATAAATGAACAATTCCTAAGATATCTGATAACTGTGTATTTTGAAATACTTCAGAGGGAAGATCTTCTCTGACTGCTTTACCTTGTTTAATGTTCTTTACAATGTGATTTACTTCACCGTGACATTTTGCGATCGCAGGTTGCTATGAACAAGATTATTCAAATCCATATTTCATAAATAGTAAGAAGCATGAGATATTGTTTCTTAACAATTTGCACAAATATAAGTCTTCTTTTAAAAAGAAACTAAGAAGTTTTTTCAGTGCATTGTTTTCTCTATCTCAAATGTTCCAAAACTGATCCAAACTGATTTTTTAAGATTGATGTACCAAAGTTGCATATGCTCTTCTTGAGGCCGAGGGACCTATATGCAAATACGTAAACCGCAGTGCTATTTATATTCTCCTCATTCATTTCAAATAAATTCTGTCTTTATCAGCAATTATTAGTTGATCCCAATATAAATCATAGTGCAATTTTGTTAATGCTTTAATAAAAGCTGTCTGTTTGTAGATGTCCCTACTTTGCCTTGTAGCAAGGTCTCTATCCATTAAATGACTGTTATTTATTCTGTTAGTTACATTTGCTTGAGACATTTGTTTCGTGACTTATATGATTTTAATCTCTGGGTATGTGTAACATTTGATGTACGACCTAGAATGGATTAAAAAATACAATCAGTTTCTAATATATCAAATTGGAGATATTAGACTTGACCCCTGGTCACTCTATGTAACCTTTTTGATAGCTCTTTGCTAGCTGTTT